GCGATAAGAGGGCTAACGAAATAAAAATTGAGAAAACCATCAAGGTGTAACCCAATTTCCGGCACATTGCCCAAGAGCCCAATGATCCGTGGAAAGCGGGCCCCAAAAAGGTGTTAAGCCGATTCGAAATCCCCGCCGCATACGTGATGCACTGGGGGGCAGTAAAACGGAGGCGTTGACGTGGCTGCAGTTCCAGTTGTCGCTGACACAGATGCGCCCATATATATGTATATTCAAGTATGTACACATATCGGTAATTCATAGAGTTTAATTGAGTGTAATTAGGGTATGACGATGATGAAGACCAATTTGGTGATATGCATAATTGAAGTGGGTTACACAGGCAAGGGGTGAGGGCAATCGCAATCCGATTTCCAATTAAGACAAACAAACCATGACAAAACGACGGCTAAATTGGATAACATCTAAATGCGCACAAAGTCGCAGTAATTGTAGTCTAAATGTAATTTGATTAGAAATCACGCGGCAATTATCGCTTCAGCGAAACTGGAGAAGTTCCCAGAAGTCCGTGGCCCAAGGAATGATGGTGGAGTGGAGCCAAGGGAGCACCTACTGGCTGGGGGCATTGCTCCTCTCCCCAGTACTTTGCACCACACTGGCCAAAAAATCGATGTTTCTATAGGTCGAACTTCTTTTATTATTAGTTATGCAACCCCAACTGTGAGCATTTTTCTCGCAGTGCAGTGAGTTGCGGAGTCACAGCAGAAATATTTTTGCGTGGGGCCGATGTCTGGTACTAATACTTGATGCCGGGCATCCGCCAAAAGAGGGGCATGGCGGGGCGGTAAGGCAGGGCATCCGCCATTTTGGCCAAATGGTGGCGGCGTTGGAGTTGCAGCAGTTGTTGTTGCTGCTGCACTGGGAGCCATGCGCTCAGTTGGCGATCAAACGCGCTCCAAGATCTGTTGCATGCATAATGATGCCGTCTGTTGTATATCTGTGCGCTGTCGCCGATGTTTCGTTAAATTGTTTGTGTGCTTGCAGTAAGCACAGCAACAACAGAAAACAACAACACAGGGTAATGCTAAAAACAAACATAAAAGAACGCAATGCCATAAAGTTCAAGCCAGCAACACACGCACACAAACGCTTTTACTCACTCTCGCACACAAACAAACAAGCAAACACAGATACTAAGGCGTTGATGAAGACGACAGCAGATCCAAGAGCAACAACAACCAGCGATCCAGTGCCGGCTGGTCGGAGAATTGGACAGCTGCCGCCATGATAGATACGATACTCGTACTCTGGCTGGCCTGGCCAAGTATTTCTGTACTTTAACGGGCCATGGAGAAGCGCAAAGCAAAAAGAATAGCTGCCAAAGAAAACAAGGGGCAAAACAACGCACTGTTTATACCCTTCCTTAGAGCACGAAGTTTAAAATTGCAGTTGTCTATCCATGTGACCTACAGAAAGGAGGAATTTTAAACACTATCGTAGATCAACAAATTTGTATACTAGTAGATGGTTGTAAATATCATTAAATAGTTGTAACCATATAATTAAGACATACATAATTTGATCAGTTATTTGTTACGTATAAGCTTTACATCTTTATTAGCTTTTTAGATGTTTAAGATGTTATTTTGGCTTTCCAAAAAAAGGAAATATAACAATTCGCCGTTTAACTACGAATTTGTATTATAATATATATATGTATTGTATTGCGTTAAATTACACCAATTAGTAAATTCTTATCAAACTTCAATGGATATCTCTATAAAATCGTACATTATTCTGGCATTCATTTGCTGAAATATTTTACATTCGCTGAAATAAAAAAGACTTTAAATCTATCATTCCAGATAATTGCGTGGGTGCTACAAAGAGAACTGCAAAAGTGAAAAGTTGCGTTTTGAGTCAGTAAAAGCGAGAAAGTAAACCCACCGGTCTGGAAGCCCCATGACTAGTCATCATCCAGATGCGAGGTCGAAACAGACATTCTTATAATTAGTGAAAAAAGCGGGCGAAAAAGGGTCTGCACTTGACACGCAACCCGGGAATCAGACGCTCACTCCCACGCGTCCATAGAACCACCCCCACTCCCACGGGAAACGACCGCCCTCATCGTTAGGCCAGCAACAAATTGACGCAATCTGATTAAAAACGCATCAAAATAAAACTAACTGGTGGCCAGGGGAAATGGGTGAAGGGACAACAACCTATGCTAAACGCTCGTAAAAGTAATTTTGTTGGCCCAAACAAACACACGGACACACACGTACACTCACGCGACACACACACGCAAGTACACAGCCACTCACACAGATACACGTAATTTAGGGGTGCTGGCGGAAGTGAAAAGGAAACATCTAGTCCTCTTAGAACAGCCGTCGTCCCCTTTTTGCGTACGCAGCATCCGCAAAAGAGTGCCGAAAACTGAGTGGTAATGCCGGGTATTTTCTACAGTAGGCCCTCGCGAAAAATGAAAGGAAATCAAGTGAATCGTTAAAAACGACGAAAAATTTGTGACCTACTTTTCCGTAATTTTGCGATTTGCAAAATACAGTCAATGCTAAAATTTAGTAATCTTCACGTACTTTCAAAACAATTCAATCAATAACGAACGTTTATAACTTAATCTACTGAATGCTAAATATTGAACAAATAACATATTGTACGTATTCTTAACACATTCTATGCGTTCTTACGTATGAAAATGTTGACATATTTATTTTTATGGAAGTAATTAACTTTTATTACTTTGCTAAGCAACTATTTTATGTACATGTGACTTTTACAATAATAACTAAGTCATTTAATACACATATGGAAATGTTTTAAAGCGCAAACTAAGAAAACCCGAGAAAATTGCGGCCTTTACTCCAATTGACATAATTTAAAAGATCCTGGAATGCATTTTATTTGAATGACTTTGGTTTAAGTACATACATACAATTTTAAGGACTAAATCCATTGGTTCTTGTGCACCAGGTTACACTGTACTGGAACATTGATGCCGTGTATGGCCAAAAATCACAGTGCGGGCGGAAACTGAGTGCCGTCATCAAAATACGCACACACACACACATTGGAGAAAACGGGGAGAGAAATGTGGAAAGGGGCAGACAGATGAAATCAGAAAAAGGAGAGAAGGAGTAGGAGGAGGTGGAGGAGAAGGAGGAAAACGGAGTGACAGCTGCCCCATTCGCATCCGGGAAAAAGTGGCCGCTAAAATCATTTGTTAAGTGCGGTGGCCATGACAACTGGCCCAAAATTCGGAGAGTCCTGCTTCTGGTCAGATTTTTCAATTCTTACATCTCCCTCTGTGCAGAAGGCATACATATGTATGCACGTATTTCCATCATCATCCACACCAGCAAACAAAACAAGAACAACCGTGTGCAGCTTCCTGCCCCCTCTTACACGCAGAGAAATATTGTATAGCTGGTTGAAATTAAATCGAAATGCATTTTAAAGTTATTTTGTTCTACCTCTTGCTTTATAAGGTTATACCCACATGATTTTATAGATAAGAGACCGGGTTCGAGTCCCATAGCTAACATTTTTCTAACTATTCAGCTACAAAAGCATCACATATGTCTATCCAAATTATGTGTACTCCCTATTCAATATTTCGTTCAGTGCATCCATTTCGCTTCCGTGTTTCGAAATTCAATTTATGTATACTTTATGGAGCCGCAGCCGGCTCCCCAAGCTCCATTTCGCCCCCCTTTTTGCCCAGTGAGGCGGAGAAAATTGTAAGTTCAGGAAAATCGATTTTCTTGTTGTATTTTTTGTGCCGTTTTGCTTTACTTTTTTGGCTCGCTGCAGACATGGCTAATTGGAGTTCTTTTTGTTGCACCAGCTTGTGAACTGAATGCTGCAGTTTGCATCTTTACTCACCTCGCAGCGCTATTTTTAATGCACCGGATTCGGATTCGGATACCCTGTTTCGGGGGATTCGATTCGGGACTCTCTTGCCCCACTTCTCCTCCCTTTTGACCAAGGAAATTGCGTCCAGAGAGCGACACCAACACTCGCACGCACAAACACACGCGCGCACACACAACTGCAGCAATGTTTCTCTTCAAATTGCAGAGCGCTTTTTTATTCTATTTTCACGCACTCACTCGCGATTTTCACGCACTGTTTTGCGACGAGAGATTTTCGTTTGAGATAGTAATTGCGTGGAGTATTTTTGCTTCACATGCTGCCCGTTTTCCGAACGTTTTTCACTTTTCTTTCTTTTCTTTGCAGCTGAATGGGAGCAGAAAACAAACGCAGCCCTAACGGCACCGAGTTGTAGTTGTTGTTGGCTGGGCAGTGTGACCGCAACTGGGGGTGGAAAATAATCCGTCGCGGGAAATATACTGAAATGTATCTCGCGGATTCATTCGCAACAGCTGCGCTGCCACAACCATCGTGGGTGGCTAGAGATGGTACAACACCAATTCGATAGTTTTTAGTTATGTTCAGCTCCATTAAATAATAAGCGGTTTGTTCGCATTCTCTGTTGACAAATAACTTACAGGGCTTTTAAATCAATGGTATGCTTTTTTATTGCGTTATCTTGTATTCAAAGTATTTTTCATTGTAATGTAAAATTGCCTTGAAGCTAAGTTCGAAAGCCAACCCATTGGTCTGGCAACGCCAAGTAAACTTACCGGCCGTTCAGGCGGTATTCTTCGGACATCGAGCGGTCATACTAACTGGAAATTACTTAACATGCTGCAGGGAATGCTCCAAAGGCAAGTAAATAATGAATAAACCATGGTTTTTGTGTGGTCTTATAACAATTTATGACATTGCAGGACCTGTCTGGCGATTGTCAGCACCGCACAAACTCTAATCGTGCGGGATAAGCACGCCTTCAATCGGGCGGTGCTGAAACCGAAAGTCCGCTGCCATTTTCCGAAACCCATGGAGGTGAAGAGAATCAATGTACACGGCTGGAATGCGAGGATGTCCACGCCCGAGGGACGACGAGTGCTGATGAACCGGATCCTCAAAGGACGCCACAATTTGTCCCATTAGCATTGTGTTAATAAACCTAACTTTATTTACAAATTGCGATTGCTTCAGTAAGCTCGGTTTTAGTTTCGTTGATTCAGCGGAACTCCCAGAAAGGCTGGCGATCGATGGTAGATCTGCTGAATACTCTTTGACGACTTCGAATCGTCAAGGATAAACACGAAGGGCACACTGCTGGACACACCCTGCCCCTGATCTCGGAAGTAGCCCTGCGGCAGGGTCAGTTCACCGCCGAGGATAAGGCAATTCACCAATGGCATCTTTTGCAGTGGCATTGCTGGCACCAGGAATAACTCCTTTCGGTCGTAGTCGATGGCACGAACCACACCTAAAAGAATTCAGGAATTTTAATAACAAGCCACAAAGGGGCGTCGATGTATACAAACCTATTCCCAAACATTGGGGCAGACCTGTCCCGTGATGGCACAGATATACCACATTAGCCTCCATGCCTCGAATCAGCTCTTCGCGCGAGTAATCCTTGCTGGTGGGATGCAGGATCTTCAGGGTTTCCAAAGACACCCCCAACGGCTGGCAGTCTGTGAGAGATTTGGCGTTTCCCGTCAGGCACGAACTGAGACGTGCCAGAAGGTTGGAGTACCGCATGTCCTTGGCGCTGAGACTCCAAGTTCCTTTTTCCTTTGCTGGCACCGCACTAAGCAGCTTATGGAGTGTGTATTTTGGTATTTCCTTGACCCTGAACTCCTCTGCCGAGTAAATAATGGGTTTTATCTGCGACAGACTGCTCCAGTCGAGGGCAGAATCAAAGTTATTGATTAGAATTGGACTGGCGATTTGTACAAGATCCGTGGGACGTATGCGATCCACCAGCAGAGCCATCAATTCGATACCAAAACCCTTGTTATAGCCCATTGTATTTATCAGCCACGGAATATTTGAACACTTGGCATCGTTCTGAATGGTTTGAACAAGTTGAATGACTGCTCGGGCATAATGCTCTGCACACAAGACAATGTTTGTGTGGCCCACGACAATGGCATGTTCCGGCTGCCTGTTAAACAAGAATCCCGGTCCCAGAAGAGGCTCATCAATTACGGTGCAAGAAATAGTCTGGGGAACAAATATTTCCGGCTGGCCAATGTCCAAGTCGATGAGCAGAATGGATGGAGACTGGCCAAGATTTCGATTGATGAGGTAACGCAATAAACTAGACTTTCCGACGCCCTTACCACCTGCCACGATTATCCTGCTTGTGGCATGGAACTTTAGCTTATTCCATACCTGCGGGACCTGCAGGGTGCGACTTAGATCGGACGATTGAATCAGACAGTGCAACAGGGTTTCACTTTGGTTAAATGGTCGATTAGAAGGATTAACCAGGGGGAAAACATTTTGCGCCATGTGCTTGCCAAAGGTGTCGACGAGTCGCTGTGCACTTGTGTTTCGGTGGAGCAATACTATTGCATTTGTCTGGCTCTGATAGCTGCTCTTAATCCTGTCTAGCTGGGCGCGTGTGAAGTTCTTGTTGAGCTCGTCCCAGTTCACCTCATTCCTTTCAGGTTTTTTTGTCTTCGTTGGTGAAATAGAAACCCAAGTCAGGCCTTTGGGGGAATAAATAGTGATTGGCTCCTGCCTGCGAGCTCTGTAACCATTCACTGATATTTGACCACTAAGCAAAGTGAGCACTAGTGTGCCATACACTTCGAGGTCCTCTTTAATCACGGCCAGTACATGATTGCTTTTTAGACTGTTCTCAAATACGCTAAGCTCAGTGCGATTTTCTTGCGGATTTCTGTAAAACGGCGTATCGCTTTGTTGACTCTCATATTGCTTTTCGGGTGTAAGGACTTCAGGCAGTGGTACCTCGGCATTCTCTTCGGTTTCAATGGCAGCTTCAGACTCGTTTGGTGTAAAATTAGGCGTTTCTTCAATCAAGACTTCTTCTGGAGGCTCAACGATTGAGTTTTCTGCCACCATCTCCACAACACTTGACTGTTTTATACGTTTTTGTAGCTTAGGCTTATAACTAACCAGTTCTTTCTGATTTTTATCTACAGGAGGATCATCAAAGATTTCCTCTATAATAAGCGGCTCTCTTTGCATACCCAAAGGTGGATCATCAAAGAATACCTCAATATCAGGTGGCTCATACGTTGAATCGAGATCATCGCTGTCGAAGATATCGCTTCCAAATTCTTCACTATCGCTATCTTCACTGTCGAAATCTTCATCCACGTCAAATTCTTCCTCTCCATCGCTATCTTCATCACTGTCAAAGTCTGCGCTGCTTGTGTCTTCACTGTCAGACTCTTCGCTGTCAAATTCCTCAGATACAAAGCCTTCGCTATCTTGTGGCTCATAATCATTATCCTCTTCGTCGCTGTCAGTTTCTTCCTGTGGACTCTTAAAGACCTTAATCTTTCGAACTGTTCCGCTGCCATCACCATCTAACACAAGAGGTTGGTATTCATCATCCTCAAAAGGAGGAAGAATGTCTATTACATCGATTTGGCTGCCTTTAGATTCGACTTTAATAATCTTCGTGTTTTTTAAAAATGTCTCGTCTATTTCTTCAACTACATCGCTTTCAGAGTCTAAAACAAATAGTTTAAGTTAAGAAATATAAGGTGATATTACAAATTTGCTTACCACTTTCCATTAAATAATCGTCTTCTTCGGTCCAATCGTCCATTGAATTCATTTCAATGTCGCTTGGTGCCAGTGGAGTGCCACTTATCTCAGAAATCTCGACTATTTGACCATTTAGTACAATCTTCTTTGAGCTCTTGCCTCCATTTACCTTTTGTTTTTTAGGTAAACTTGCTTCTTTGGCTTTATTTGGCGCCTTAACTTTTGTTTTCTTAACATCTGGTTCTGAAAAGTACAATTATATTAAAATAAATTCAGGTTAACATTTTAGATATAAAGCATACCACCGTTTATATTATGAACCTTGGGACTAGGAAGCTGTGGACTTTTGCTTTTTGCTGCAGATTTTTTAGCTTTAGCAATTTGGGATTTATGTACAGGATTCATTATAGGTAAAGTCGTATCCTTTTTGGGCCTCTTTTGGCACGGAATACTATCTGATTTAGAGTCATTATGGGAAAGAGGCCTCTTTTCGCCCTTTGCCTTATTTTTCTTGGACTTATTGGCCGACGCAATCTGGGCTTTTTGAATCATTGCTTTCGAAACCTTTTCGGGGTTGTTTGCTACCGTTGAAATAACTTTTTGTTTTGTGGGTCGGTGCTGTGGGGTTTCCGGCTTACGGCGACCAGAGGCTATTTCTCGCTGTTCGGTGAGCTGGAAACTCAGCTGCATTTCTTTCAGCATATGTTCGTCAAGCATTCCTTTTCAGTTTTTCGGTCAAACTACAAATACTTAATTCCCGGGCCATGCGACCGCAGATGTTAAAAGAAGAGGAAGAATAAATATGTGCAGTGTGACCAGTCGTGGTCGGGCATTGGAATGCCGCGCACAGGGTTGCCATCGATGACAACTATCGATTGGGCTAATAACAGCCCTGCGCTCGAAGGCGTTGGTTGGTCATCGAGCGTTCATCCCGCTACCGAGAAATGAAATGGATGAACATTGTTCATCGTCATTTTGCATGGGAAAAAATCGTCGAGTTCAATTCGAATTTTTGTAATTGCATTAACTTTTATACGATATAGCTAAACGGTAGACGCATAAGAATCAACAAATTTGTGCCATTTTGTAAGCAAATTAAGTGTCGAATTCGTGCTGAGTGTTGTGAAATCACCAATATAAATTGTAAGTGGCCGAAAGAGCAGCAGTGAAAAAATTCCACACAGCAGGCACACAAATGCACGCACGCCCAGCCAGAGGCGCACAGACACACGCACACACAGACACACACACGTACAGAGTGGATGATGAGATGTTTTTGGAATAAAGTGTGAGCGGGACGGGGCGCGGAGAGAGGAGTTTCCTGGAGTGTTGGAGAGAGGGGTGGAGAAGCGGGCGGCCCTATGACGCGACCAAAATGAAAATGCGAATGCGAAAAACCGAAAAGAAAAACGGGAAAAACTCGGCTAACGGGCAATGTACAATGGCCAGATAAGAAAGAACCCCACACTTTTGACTATTAGATCGCCGTCCAGTCGCGAGTATGACTAAGTGTGTGTGCGAGCGAGAGAGTGCTATCGGAAAAGAGAGCCAGCGCGCGCGTGTATTCGTGCCTGTGTTCACCAGTGTGCGTGTGACTGCATATGTGTGTGTTTGTGTGGCTTTTTCATTTTGATAATTTTTTGAGCAGCTTCGCGCTCGCAAATATATTTCGCAAATATATAAAACAGAACGGCAGCCTCGGATTCGGAATCGAAAATTTGTATTCGGATTCGGACTGAGAATCCTCGGGCCTCCGCTGCACTTGCATTGCATCTTGCTACAGTTTGATTTTGCCTTTTGCAGAACTTCCAATGACGACGATTCGCAAGAAATTGGTAATTGTCGGCGACGGTGCCTGCGGTAAAACTTGCCTTCTGATTGTCTTCAGCAAAGATCAGTTCCCCGAGGTCTATGTGCCCACCGTATTCGAGAATTATGTGGCCGACATCGAGGTGGATGGCAAACAGGTAAGCCCCTTTTCCCGCCCCGCCCCTACCTTCACGTCCCCACCGCCCTGCATACCACCCCCAACCGGCTGCTGATACCACCACCCCCCACCCGCCTGATAACCCCACCCTGCCACCCAAGTGATAATCATCTGATCTCGTTTTATAATTTGTGTGCATTCTTAATTCATTCCGTTTTTCAAGTGCGCGTATCCTCTTTACACTTTCCACCCGCCTCTGTGTGTGTGTGAGTTTGTTCCCATGGGTGTGTGTTTATTGTTCTCTTGTTTGTGCCACCCACAACTTCACCCACACCTTGGTCGTCGTATTTCCTTTTATTCCACTGTAAAATGAAATGAGTCAATATCGCCTGATGCCCACATACACGGCAATAAACAAAGGTGTCTGGAAAAGCGAAAGAGAAATGAAGATCGTTTTCGGTTAAGTGAAGTGCAAATTTTGGATTATTCCAAAGAATCTAAACTTTTGATAGCAGTGATTAAGTCACACTTGGCCACATTTCCCCACACTTGCACACACACGCACACTTATTAAACAGAGAGTTGGCAGCACACACGCACACACACCAGCAAAGGGGCTCCCTTCCTTCCGCTCGTTTTCTTTTCTTTTATTTTGTATTTGTCTTATACAAGTCCGTTGCGCACATACAGTTTAATGCGTTGCGCCGCCCCCCGCTCTCTCTGTTTCTCTCTCGCGCGCTCTCACTCTTTCTCCCTGTCTACCTGTACTCTCTTCTGGCGGGCGGGGGGGTGTGCACTCCCTTACTCTCCGGAATGTAATGTGCGATTTCCATTGGGGCATCAAGTCATGATTTGGCTATATGTTCATATATTCCATTTGGGATCTACAGTATTTTCAGGCGCTTTTTTTCGAAATAAACACTGTGTTTGCCTTTGCTGCGCAATATGGCGGGTTTTCAATTTTCAGTTTCTGTTTGTGTTTCTGTTTGGATAGCGTTTACATACAGACAAGTTCACGTCATTCCACTTCATTTTGCCTCGCTTCGATGTGATTAATTCGTTTGGCATTTCCGTCAAGTTCCTTGCTCACACTCTCGTACTCGTACTCATGCTATCTTCAACTCGAACTTGTCCCATCTCCCTCCGTACCCGTACCTCGCCGTGCCCCAAAAACCCCATCTATCTAATAACCCTGACGGCACAACTGCAACCGGAACTCTCAATCATAATCCCCATCCGATTCTCCAGGTGGAGCTGGCCTTGTGGGATACGGCCGGGCAGGAGGACTACGACAGACTACGACCGCTGAGCTATCCCGACACTGACGTCATACTGATGTGTTTCTCAGTGGATTCACCCGATTCGCTAGAAAATATTCCTGAAAAATGGACCCCAGAGGTGAGTTGTACGAACGTTTCTATCAGTCGATCGTTAAAAACAAGTATATACTATACAGAAGATAGATTTTGTATACTGTATACAAAATATTTATTACATGCAATATTACATTTTGAAAAAGGTTGAAATATTTCGCACAGAATTTGTAGTCCTATTTAACATTTATTTCTTATGTTTGAAAATAACAAATGTATCATCATCTCTGTACTGTTGTTTATGTCATCTAAATGATATGATGATTTTTATGATATCTAAAGATTACAGTGACAAAGACTGGAGTTGGTATAGAATTACAATAGTTAGTTCAAATTGTATGTTGTTGTTTAAACAGTCTAGACATTTCCAAATTAGTATCAACTTCCTGAATCATTTCCTTTTCATAACTGCTTATTTTTATATAGATAAGAAAAAAAAATGTTTCTCATTACGAATTACTTGTTTTTACAGTTCGAGTGTGTTGCCTATTAAACCATAACTTTATATAAACTAATCCGTTTTCCATTCTTGCAGGTCAAACACTTTTGTCCAAATGTTCCAATCATTTTGGTAGGAAATAAGAAAGATTTGCGAAATGATCCCAACACAATTCGGGTACGTATACGCACTGTTGGCCCGTCGAATTCGCAGTTCTAACGAAATGACTTTACAGGATCTAGCAAAAATGAAGCAGGAGCCGGTGAAGCCGCAGGAGGGTCGCGCCATGGCCGAGAAGATTAATGCCTTTGCCTATTTGGAGTGTTCGGCTAAGTCCAAGGAGGGTGTGCGGGATGTTTTCGAGACGGCAACTAGGGCCGCGCTGCAAGTCAAAAAGAGGAAGAAGACCAGATGCCTTTTGCTCTAAAAGAGCAAATCAACAACATGAAAATATATACCACACACACAGCAACAACAACAGCAGCATACACACCCACACACACACCAACACATACACACCTTTTACAACAATAACGAGCTGAACAACCACTCAAAAACAGCAACAACAACCAGAACATCGGATACACGAAGCTGCACCACCCAACAGCAACAACATGAGCAGAAAATAGAGCTTGAGCTACAAGATCGGCGGAGGAAGGAGCAGCGAGCAGCGAGATAAGGGAAGGCAGCACCAAGTAGAATGTCAAATGCGGATTTGATTTTATATACAGTCTAGTGTAGTTATAAACCGAAGTAAACAACAGTAATAACTCTGGCATTATTATTTGTAAACCTAGGGCAGAGCAGATCAATCAGTCAGCCACTGCAAGCAAATATATATCGATATATGTAAACATATTCAAGTTGTGTCCGTTTCTGTCCACCCCTCCTAGATGTATGTTATTATTTTGTTAACTGTGTTGTCAAGTGTAATCGGCTGTGGCTGGATGAGATTGTGTCGTATGTGAGGGTGAGTGAGTCAGGTGAATCAGTGTAATCAGAATCAGAACCGGAATCGGAAGGTGGATCCCGGGGTCCAAGGAGGGCGTAGGCGTCAAGATGAGAGTTATGTTCCCATTAAATCTATCAGATACAGAGAGACCAGGCCGCCAATAGAAGTTGGAAGTGAAACTACATTACAAGAGCCGAACTAAACACAAAACAAAACAAAAACGATAAATGTTTATTTAACTAAACGTAAGCCACAAATGAGATGCATTCAGTTTTCGCGTGGGAGATGCTAAGAGGGAAAATTTTTGATGAAGTGAAAAACTATTTCGAGCGCATTAAGCGAGTTTTTAATATTTGTACTTTGCTTAAAACGAGTGGAAAACATAAAAAAAAGATACTACAAAACAACCAAACTATATGAAGAGTATTTTATGATTTTATAAAATACGAATATACATATAATTATACTATACAGTACATATGTGTATGTCTCTTTTTTGTATTTTGTACCGTCAATCGTGTAATTCTCACACAGAAGTTGAAAAACTCGAAGATGCATCAGATACAACCAAACTATATTATACTTATGAATAAACAGTACATTTGATCTACTCTTGGTTTAACTCACTGTTTTATTTGGCAGGGGATCGAATCTAATTGGATGGCGACATTTAAAAACGTGGGAATTGCTTATCACGAGAAAAAATATAATGGACTTTGAATGTCTGAAGGCGCCAATGATGAAATGAAATGAATTATTTTTTTTTGGGAATTCCCCGCCCTTAAAGTCAAAACACACATCTTTAACGGGGTTAAAAAAATCTTTATTGAGGGTATTGTTTTTGTTTATTTTGTGCTTTTGTATTTAATTTTTTTTTACATTTAAAATGTACATAACATTATGGATCAAAATGTTTTGGTTTTTCTTCGATTAGGTATTAGGTTTCAATATTATTTCCGAACATGTATGTCGTTTTCGAAACAACATGGACACGACACATTGCTTTGAACCTCTAGTTCGCAAGCCTTTTCTCTTAAAACGTACTTTTTAATCGCTTTACTTTCGGCGAAAGCATTTCTATTATATTTCTACCCGCATTTGATTCGTTTTCGTATTTAGCTGTTGTTTTCGTCAGTCGATCTGTTTGGTTCGAACGGTTGCAGGATTCGCAATAACAATTAATTATTAGTAATTATGGTAGTCCATTCAACTGTTTTGGGATCTCGTAACAAACAGAGTAATTAAAGCCGTGTTAGTATTTTGTTTCTGGTGATGCAGTTAACATTGATGAGAGGAACTCATGGTGAATGCTTAGAGAACGTGATGTGTGGTTGCTTGTGGTAAAAGTAATCAACAGATTTCGTTAAACTAATAATAAATAAACTTAGGCGTAACACGTGTGTCCTTAACAATATAAACAATAAACTTTTCTCAAACTTAAACAACAAATGCATCGGCTGTCGTGGACTTAAATTATCAATTTTGGGCTTGGATCTGAACAAACGCATATTCTCATTCATATTTTATAATTTGCAATGTTCCCGCGTTTTACATACTTATGTCGATCGATCGATTTATAATATTAGTATACATTAAATTCAACATTTATTCGATTAGTTAAATGTGTGGCTCGTGTCGTATGTCATGTGCGTGTATTCTGGGTAAATACGTACATACATAAGTTTAAAAATCTTCCCCTACTCTGCTCTTCGCACCTGGCAATTGGCTGTTGGGTTAATCTCCTGGCTAGGATTCAGTATCATCAGATTGTTAGTTGGGGACTATCCCTCGATCTTGCTGAATTTAAATGCTTTTGAGCTTTAGCCAATTGCCACACTTGCTTAATCGCTCTCGTCTAGGAATCAACGTTAGTAATATTTACTACATAAACATATGTACGTGCATTGTTAATATGTATCTTTTGGATCGGTGCTTAAACGTATTGATATACTCTATCGCTGATCTACTGCCTCGCTATCCTTTCCGGCCAACAACAAGTACTTTAAATAGTTTTTGTAACAAATAATAAATAAACCACTGTGGCCATAACAATTAGTTATCCTTTTCGATCGGTTAATTCTCTCTTGTATGTTGTATCTGATGGGTATGTGCTATATAGAATATATAGCAAACAAAAGTTACTCGGTTTTGTGGTTAATATTGCACTCATTTGAGGGAACCCACATCCAGGCCTAGTTGAGGTTTCGTCTGCGCCGGAAAACCAAAGCGAAGATGGATCGGATGCGCCACCAGCGACTCCGTCGCCCCGTGTGAATCTTCTCCGAATTAGAGTCCGTGCCCAGGGCCTTCTGCATTTCCTTGCGCCGAATCTCGCGGACCAGCGTGTAGAACGCCTCGTCGATATAATGACGCAGTGCAGCCGATGTCTCAAAAAATGGGCAGCCAAACTGGTTGGCCAGGTTCCGGCCCTCCTCGGTGGTCACGCGTCGTTGCGACTCCAGGTCCACCTTGTTGGCAATCAGAACCAGTGGAATGTCCTCGGACAGGCGGACACGGGTGATCAGTTTCCTGTACTCGGATGCCTCCTGGAAGCTGTGGCGGTCGGTGACCGAATAGCATATGATGAAACCTTCGCCGCAACGCATGTATTGGTCCCGCATGGCCGTGAACTCCACCTGGCCGGCGGTGTCAAGGATGTCGAGCAGAGCGGCCTCATTGTCGATGACCGCCTGTTGCTGGTAGGAATCCTCTGCGGCGAAAAAAAACCCGGTATACATTTAGTGGTTGGTTGTGTGCTTTTCCATAGACGCCTTGCGTCCTGCGCCTTACTCACCAATTGTGGGGTCGTGGTAGTCCAGGAAACTGTGGCTTACGAACTGAAGGGTGACAGCTGTTCGGGTTTCGTCGTCGTTTTCAGAGGGCGTTGGAGTGGTGGTTGGTGGAGTTTCGTGGGTGTCGGTGGTGAGGGGGTCAAAACAAAGCGTAAAAGAAATTGAGATAATTTATTGATTTTTCGCAGCCCCAATCAAAGTGCGCAGTGATAACTCGGCGTTTTCTTTCGGCTAATCCATGGCTGAGTAGCTCACCTGACTTTCCAACGCCGCCGTCACCAAGGATGACGATCTTGTACACCCGCAGACCGCCGCGCATATTCTGCGGCGGCACCGGAGGCGGCTTGACCAGGCTCCCGTTGTCCCTGTGGTCGCTGGGCACCCGCATTGAGTCCGTGTCGGCGGCACTGGTGCAGGACCTCAGCTTGCTGGATCGCTTTAGGGCCGCACAGCCGATGGACATGTCGCCGGCCATAATACCGCTGACCTCACGGATTTAGACCTGGTCCGTGTCGGTCCTAGTTCCGTTCGATCGGATCACACGGAGAACCTCTGCACCACCGTCGCCAATTGTGTATTATTTTCTTGTTTTTTTTCTTGGTCGGGGTTGGTTCTCTTCGAGATGGGCGCGTGACAAAAGTGTCTAGTGATACTGGAGACTGTAGTGCGCATGAATTTGTATGCCACGCAATATTAACAGGTAGCTTATATTTTGAATTTTAGTTAATTACTTATATATTATATCTTGAAGATTTTACACCTGTTATATAAATGAATTCTTTTATCCATGATCGTGATAGCGCAGACATAAAATATGAAAAATTCATTAGTCGCAGAAACTTTAGTAATTGTGTTTTCTGAACAGTCACCTTGCTGAATAATTACCTTTAAAATGGCAACTAGCAATTTAATTAAATTAATGAATAGCCCATTCAAATTAGTAATAAATAGTAAAATTGTAAAATAGTAAAATAAATAGTAACAATAGTAAAAATTATTTTTGCAGAGCTGAATTTTCCAGCCAGAACAATACAACTTAGAAACCGGTAGTGCTACACCCGCCTAGCTGTCATCTCTAGCTGCCATCATTCCCGTCGGATCTGGCAACGCCAGCCGCTTTATAAATAATTTTCCCACGGTGCGAGCGGTATTTGCATTTAGTAACGTGCTGTTCGCCGATCCAGATTGCCCGTTTTGCCCGGTCCGCTCGAAAAGGAAAAACAAACACTCCCCACTGAGTTGGCTCATAGGTTTTAGTGCCTTTTGTGAGCAAAATGTCGGGCGATGTGCAGCCGCGTAAGCGCAAGGATAAGCGCCGAAAACGCGGTAAGTCCCTAATACGGTACTTTTGCTTAAAATCATACTCGAATGAACCGTTATTTAATGTGAAAATCGGTTTTGTCTTTTCGCCGCCGCCGCGTAGCAAGCAGTTCATTTCTTTTATTAGCATAATAATATTGTCGAGTGCCTTTAAAAATAACTTTGCCCTATTATATAAAATTATACATCTCGCCTGTTTTCTGTCGCTATGCGTGTGCCGATCGAGCAGGAAAATATATATGCATGACATGTGTGCGGGTGGGAAAGGCGGGGAGGTGCAAGAGCCCAAAGTGGATATTTGAATAGGGAGCGGCTGAAAAAGGGCACACCGTGCAAAAATCGCGTAAAAGCAGGCAGAGAGTGGTTTTCCCTGATTTATTTATCTTTTTCCCAAGGCAAACACAGATGTTCCGTTGTCCCTGGGATATCCTCTTATCGCTCTCTCTCTCTCGCTCTCTTCATTGCTCTCTTTTCATCGTTTTCTTTCTCTCATTGGAGAATGGAGAGCTCGTCACCTCGTCGGCAAATTAATTCCAATGCAACAGAGATCTAGATACTAGATACAATGATGCCAGATGATGCTGCTTCCGTATAGATTCTGGGGCCATTACACCCACGGCACCGAAATAAGTAGCCACATATGTACATACAAATGTGTAAAGCCATTTAATTTCACTTGGCCAACTGCCCAAGAGCATGACTGGCGGCTTCTTTGTTTATCGTTGCGCATATTTAGGCATAAACAATTACCCCCACCCTTCACGCCGTCTTATCAGCTTGTAATGCCGGTAAATGTATCTTTGTAACTAACTTTTCGTCTAGATGATCGCAAGTCCGAGGGCGATGTGAGTGTTCTGCGTCAGTCCAGTTTTCAAGGTAGATAAATAGAACCCCTTATGTGCATTTTTCCCAACACTCCTCGGAATGCTTTGTCAAATTAATTGAATGTCTCGCTCAGTTACTAAATCCAAGTAAAACACTCGAAGGTGGATACAATTAAGTTGTTTGTAATCACATGTGTACATGTGTTTTTATTATCCATTATCATGCAAATGTCGGATCTCAGATGACGACGAATCTTCGCACGGCGTTCACATTACAAAAATGGGAAACGAAGATCTCCACCTGCATGTGCACCACGATCACGGAACTGGCGGTCATTGGTGCGCCAAGATCATATTCTTCGCCCTGATGGCAGTGCTCCTTGGTTTGGTTGGTCTGATCATCATGGAGAATCGCGGACTGGAGGATTGTAAGTATATGAATTCTCAGAAATTGGGATTATACTAAATACTTGTTTCTCTTAGTGGACACTCCCCTGTCGGAGTCTAGGTTCTCGAAAGTTTTTGATGGCTGGGTAGATGAACATCGGGATGAGCATGATGGTCACGATGTGCAGGAACCCTCTGGAGAGGCGTTAGATGATCATGATGAACACGATGACCATGATGACCACGATGACCATGAAGAGGAAGGCATGTTAACCTAAAATAATTCAAATTCTCTTAAATAAAAAACAAAAAACTTTACAGAAGAAGAACCCCTCTCAGAAGAATTAGAAGAAGAACTGGAGGAAGAGGAGCAGCCCACTGAGGAAGATGAACCAGAGGCAGATGAAGAAGAAGAAGAGGAGGATGAAGATGAGGAGAACAACGCGGGTGAAAACATAACTGCCGAAGATGCGGAGGAGGAAGAAGAGGAGGAGGAGGATAAGGACGATGAAGGCACCGTAGAGGCAACTGTGGAAGCTACCACCGAAGCCACAACGGAAGCCACTGGCGAATACGACGCTGAAGAAGATGAAGAGGATGAGCCCGCAGCGGATGACGATGCAGTAGAATCCACTGAAGCCCCGCAGTCGGAAGCTGAGGAAGTATGATCTATAGTTTCTGAAAATATTGTATATTTCAAGAAATTTATGTTTTATGTTCGCAGCAGGAAGATGAGGAAGAGCAAGAGTTCGAAGAATCAGTAGAGCCGCCAAGATCGCAATCTGCGGCACAAAGTTCTCCTGCAACAGATACTAATGATGACGATGACGAGGATGAGGTTAGTAAATAGTTTTTTGGGCTGTGATAAATGGTCTTCGTATTTGTCGCTAAATGAATCATTTATCGTAGGATCAAGACAAAAAAGATGCAGATGACGGGGATGACGACGACTTTGAGTCCCTCGATCAGCAATTTGAAAATGATGTCGATGATACAGAGCCAGCAAATCCAGTAGAGAGTCAGGAGCAGGATGGAGACCAGGATGATGAGGAGGAACCCAAAGAAGAGGCCTCCTCTTGGTTGGCATCACGTAAGTAGCGAAGGAATAAGTAGTTGAACGGTTAACGGATCTCGCCGGTTTAGAACCTTAAGAACTGACCGACTGAAATGCTCCACCTTACCAAACAGAAAGAATATATGCACCCACACAACCAAGAACTTAGAAACCGAAATTGTACAAGAAAGTGCAAAAGGCATTTGTTTGTTTTATCATACTAAAACCTGAATCATTTACAGTTGCCGTTAAATTTGGCGTTGGCGTTGCACTTGCCTTAGTTTCACGCCTTGTATTGATAAGGAAAAGTCCAAATACAAGTGAGTCTTCAATGCTGATCTGCTCCCCAAATCTCCGCTCTTTGTATTCCGCTCTCTGCTCTTGATCTCTATCAATCATATCCGCCAAGCACGCCAAATGTTATGCTAATCAAATAAAACATACTCCGGGGATTCTTTTCAGTAACTTTTACTAAGCGCCGCTTTTCGTTCTAACCCACCAAGCGATTGGTAAAATTAAAATACGACTTTAATGTCTCTATGTAGTACAAATCTGATGTATTAACAAAACTAAAACAAAGGCTGGGCAATGGCTTCTCTTTGTTTTAACGATGAGAATCCATGAAGCCTGTCTAAATTTTGCACTTTCTTCAGTTAGCTTATTTTGATTATGATTTTATATTATTTCTTGAATCTGATTGTAGTCACAGCTTTGTTAAAATTATTCGACCAATGTATGTATGTACGGAAATTGTTGAATGGCTTTGTTCTTGCTCGATTAATAATCCCCTAACTCGAATAACGTTCGAATCTTCCGTGGTGAATGCATAGCTGAGGATGCGCCCGCACCAGAGACTTTATTCAGGCGAAGATTGACGATTGCTACGGCTGAGGATCACATACCGGACGATGAGGAGGAGATACCCCCTTTGGACGATGGTTGGAGATATGAGTTATTAATTGCGAACTTCGGCTAGCCGAAGTTGCTTCCAAATCATTTGATTGACAAGTGATCTGAAAGCGTCTGCTGTATGATATACCTGGCCAAGTCCAGAGTTTTAACTTCAGTCATATCCCATTGTCTAAAAAGAATACTCCGAGGAGGAAATCGAAATCGAAGAGGAGATCGAGGTGGAAATCAGCGACATTGAGGAGGAGGAAGAACGTCACGATAGCGACGACAATGTAGCCTCCATGGCCAGTTATGTGCCCGAGACCTTTGAGCAACTGAGCGCCATGTACAAGTACGCCCAGGAGCCTGCAAAGGAAACCCAACCCGAACAGAAAGAAAAGGAGCCCGAACAACCAACCGGTCACAGCGATATCTACGTGGAATACGAGGATGGGGCCATCGAGGATTATGAGCATGAGGGAGATAGCGATGAGGAGATCACCGACGAGGAGGACGAAATCTCTGACGTGGACGATGCTGATCTGATGAGCCGGCTGGAGGCCAAGTACGGTCGTCTGCCCGTCAAGGAGTTCGAGAGCGATCCAGACTCCGACGACCCCAGCTGGACACGTAATTACTAAACGCACAAATCACCACGTCTGTCGATGACCACCCGACTCCATTCTCCATCCAACATACTTTCGATCGATCACATAAGCTATCGCTATCATAGGCCCAACACTACTTTAAGACACACGACAAAAAACCGATCGCTTTACACATAACAGATCGTAAGTGTTAGTCGTAGGATACACCGATACAAACTGACACCTCTCACAAGGTGGAGCTATCTAGGCCGTAACCGTTCAAAATGTCACTCCATTGTTATGCTTGAAATCGTTCTAATTCAGATTCTTAATTCCAATAGAAATAAAGCCGAAAGAAGCTGCAGCTGCTCCCGCAGAGAAAGAGGATCCTTTCGAGCAAGAGTTGCGCAAGGCCAACGAGGAGATGATTAGGGAGGTATGTCGCAACCAAAGGTGTCTCCTTCACCTGGACTAACCCGTGAACTGTATATCTTCGATATATCTCTAGCTCAACAATCACTAAAGAACATCACAACAAAAAACACAATCTCATTTCAAAGCTTTAGTTTATGTTTGCTTGTCAAGTTCATTAGATCATATAACTGCTTAGTCATGTAAGATCAACAAAGGATAATTAATCAAATCATAAGATATAACCGTATTCACGTATTTATAGAAACGCTCTTTTCAGGAGATGTATATGGTTGGGATGAACCCACGACGAGCTACTCCAAAATTTACACACCCACTAGGAGGAAGCTTTGGTCGCGGGCTCATCCTTAGAACTCCTGTCAACTGCGTTTCAATTCTTGAGAGAATGATTTATACTAATTGCATGCTTTTGTACTTTGTCTAACCCTTTTTTGTGTTTTGGCTGGCGAATCGCGAACTAATATCCACCCCAAAGAACTATGCCCAAGCCCTGCGATCCTTTAACACGCTCACCACCAACTTTGCCCACGAGCCGTCGGCCCATTTGGGAAGAGCCCGAGTTCTGGAACTTCTGGCCAAGAAGGAGCGCAGCAATCAGCGCCTGTGGGAAGCCATCGATGCTTACAAAAGATATTTGGCTTTTGGCGAGCTTGTTGCCAGCAATAAGGAATTTAAAACCGCCGGCGAAAGCTGCATCGAGAATTTGAGATTTTTGGGTTAGTGAATATATGATTAAACTGTATCGTTATCCTAACTGAATTTCTCTATTGAATTTGAGGTCACCACCGACAGGCAACTACCATCCACGAGCTGCTCATCCAACGTTTGCCTAAGGATCCCCGGCTCCGTAACCAACTCTCACTCACCTATCTTATGGTAAACAAGTAGGTAAGACAGGCTACTTTGATGTACAAATACTTTATGATTGTCTCCCAGTCTTCAGCAGGTTGAAAAGGTGGCTCTGGAAACTTTGAAACTGTGGCCTACCAATGCTGTGGCTCAACTTCATTATGGACTGGCCCTAAGACAGTTCCATGCTGACTACGCCAAGGCTTTGCCTTATTTAAAATATGCCGTGGAGTCGCAAGAGGAGGGCACTCAAGAGGCTTTCTTCTATTTGTCGCTGGGCGAGACCATGCAGCGCTTGTCCATGAAATCAGAAGCTCTTGAGGTGTACAGAAAAGGTGTTACCAAAGGATTCTTTGCCAGCCTCTATCAGAGATCGCTGTACAATGAGCCCAGGCTGAGAGCACAGCCTTTTTGGCAGCCCAAGGAAACGAGCTATGAACGGCAGCTGGAGAGGCTGACCCTCAATTGGCGTGCCATTCGTGATGAGGGACTAGCGCTGTTGGGCAGAAGTGGATTCTTCGAGGATGAAGCGGAACTGCTGCGCGACAAAGGAGTGTGGCAGCAGTATGAGCTATATGCCCAGGGTCGCCGGGTGAAGGACAACTGCCGCAGGGCCCCAATCACCTGTAGTTTGATGGAGGAATTTCCCGAGTCCGCGGGTTGTCGACGAGGCCAAGTGAAGTTTAGTGTTATGCAGGCCCAGACGCATGTGTGGCCGCATTGTGGACCTACCAATTGCCGACTGAGGGCACACCTCACGCTAGTCGCTCCAGAGCCGGAAAGAACCTCACTCCGAGTGGCAGAGCAGGAAAGGTGAGGGAAAATTAAAAAATTTTCCAATTTCGTGAACTAACATATTCTGCTTTAGAACCTGGCGTGAGGGAGAACTGTTCATATTCGATGATAGCTTTGAACACGAGGTGTGGCACAATGGAAGCCAGCCACGCCTTGTGCTCATCCTGGATATGTGGCATCCGCAATTGACTACCGCCCAGCGCCGCAGTTTATCACCCATCTGACCGGGAGTTACTTAGTTTTATTAATAGTTCCGGTTTCTAGGCCTGTAATTTAGTTACATTTCTCCATCCGAAACGTTCATTGTTAGTTGAATCGTCATGTTGTATAGGCATTGTAATTATACCTCTTAGTCGTAAGTTCGGTTTGAATGCGTGTTTAGGCTATTTAGACGTCAATTTATCGGTTTATCATATACGATTAGCGTTGGCTGGCAGCTTACCCTCGCTTTTCTACTTTACAGAAATAAAACCTCTTAGGATTCGATAATTGTGGTTTTTATTATTGCACAGATTACCGGAATTTGCACATCTCCCACTGTCTGTAGCCAAATGGAGTATAAAAGTGAGCTTCTGTTGTACCAAAGGAGATCAAATCAAAATGCAGTTCGCCGGATTTGGAGTACTATTTGTTGTAGCTGTCGCTTTCGCGGATACCTTGGATGTGTGCTTGAAGGACATGGGCTGCATGCGAGGCACTTTTATGCCAGGATATCAGATCGAAGAGTTCGAAGCCTTCATGGGCATTCCGTTTGCCCAGCCGCCAGTTGGACCGCTCCGTCTTAAGGTGGATTGTTCTCCCCGTTGGGACTTTCAGGAGGATTATATATATTCAATGTTTACAGAATCCTGTGCCTGCTGAACCCTGGGAGGGAGTACTCGATGCTGGAATGGCGAAAGACAGCTGCCTGCAGAGAAGCTACTTTGCGAAAGAATGGAGCTTGATGGGAGTAGAGGACTGCCTCTACTTGAACGTCTACAGACCCAAGGTATCAAACTTTTTAGGCATCCATAGAAAATCCTGATTGTTTTGATTTTATAGAAACGGGATGATGAGAACTTGCCGGTGATGGTCTATATACATGGGGGCGGTTTTTTCAGCGGCTCTGCCCATCCGTTGGCTTCTGGACCAGAGTATCTGATGGATACCGGCAAGGTAGTCGTGGTAACAGTTAGCTATCGTCTTGGTCCCTTTGGTAAGTTGTACAGACTATTAAATACCACTCACATCGAGACCAAATGTTGCAGGTTTTCTTAGCACTGGCGATGAGCACATGCCAGGTAATTTCGGATTCAAGGATCAGCGATTGGCTCTGCAGTGGGTTCAACAGCACATAGCTACATTTGGAGGAGATCCAAAAATGGTCACGATCCTTGGACACAGTGCTGGAGGAATATCTACACACTTGCACATGCTTAGCCCCAATTCAAAGGGTCAGTTTTCTTTCCCGTATTTTGTTCGCACTTAAGTAATATTCCTGATACTTAATATTTCAGGACTTTTTAAAAATTCCATGTCCTTGACTGGCACCATGTTTCTGCCAGCCACAAAGATCCTCAGAGATCCGCTAAGTCAGGCAAGGCGTCTGGGAAAAGAGATGTCAATCGATCAAGCGGAGAGTCTCAGTTCCCAGGATCTTGCTAAAGCGCTACGTGAAGTGTGCCCTAAAAAACTAATTCTTAGTTTGGACAGCTTAAAGGTCTGGGATAACATGCCACACGTTACCAGCTTCCCAGTAGTGGAGGCTCCATCTCCTGATGCCTTTTTGACCGAGGATCCACTAGAAGCCCACAGGGCAGGTCGCATTAACCAGGTGCCCTGGTTACTTAGCATGAGTTCTCGAGCTGGAGAAGGTTCCCTATTAATTATGCGTGCCTTCATAAATCCAAAGCTTCGGGCAGAGTTCAATGAGAACTTCCTGGAACATATGGCTCTGCTCCTTAACCTTCCCGAGGGGACTCCTGTCCAGACGGTCAGCGAAATATTGGCGGCGTATGACTTTAAAGGAGAAAGTCTTAACAACGAAACCATGTTGAAGTTGGCAGAGATCTCCGGCGACTTTAACTTTTATTATCCGATTTATGAAACTATTTCATCGTATCTTCCATATGCCAATCTCGAAGAGAATCCACTGTCGATGTATATCTTTGAGTTTTTCGGCCTGCGCTCTATAAATACGATTCTTTCGGGTTCCACTGACGATTTTGGGCTTGGAGCAGTTCACATGGATGACGCTATACACACCGTACATTTTCCGATAGCCGTCGAGGATTTTCCCAAGGACTCCGAAGATGCCAAGGTGGTTCAACGAATGAGTTTGCTGATGACCAATTTTGCCAAAACAGGGTAAGCTGGGAACACTATATACTATATATTAAACCTATTCCGATATAAAAAATCCCTATAGAATTTTCCATGAAGCATCCACCTGTAAAGCTACGGATTTCAAGGACCTGGGAATGTGCAAGTATTTTCACTTTGGTGGCAACAAAAACAAATATCTAGAAGATATTCAAAGCAACATGACGCTTACAGCATTTCCGATATGGAAAAAGCTGTTTTCTTAGCTATCAATCCGATTGTATCTACACTTCGGGTTAATTTAAGAATGAACCCGCATTAAATAAACCCCATTAATTTGCGAAATGGAACAGAATGTGTAATGGGAATGGGAATGGGAATCGTTGCAGATACCCCAGATTTTCATTGGGGCATTGTAAGTGCGTTCCATTTTCATAAATGCCTGCTGCCCCATCCCATCCCAGTTGCCATTCGAAGGTCAATTTACATATGCAGAATGTGCAAGAAATGAGATTAAGTGCGAATAAAAGGCCCGACGACATACGATGAGATAAGATTGCCGTCGATCCGTAGAGCAATACATCTCGTCCGATAGGGGAACCTCTGCTCGGAGACTTCTCAATTTCTGCTATCCTACGGTGGAACACGATCCATGGGAGTGAAAACCGTGACGTTCCAAGCGAAAGTGAGTAATATCTAGGGTGCAGAATGTGCGGTGCAGTAGATATAAATATGCTCTAGTATTTAAATATATTCAAGTTGCATAAGAAGTAGTTGTTATAGCACAATTGTGTACTTAATAAGCAATATTAATCTGTGGGTGCTACAAAATCCAAGCTTTGTATGTGACATCTGCAGCATGATTTATTTCTGTGTGAATGCATTGAAAGCGAATTTGCGAGGCGAAACAGGATAAAAGCGACAATTTCGATAAGAAGCGATCGCAGTCGATCACTAGTCGTCAACTCTGGCGGATCAGGGTAAGTAGTCCACCTCCAGTTTTCGCTGGACAGGAAAACACATTCCACTTGTTCCGGCTCATGCTTCAAATTACCCTAACCAGATTCGGTTGAGGTCGCTGGTAGATGCTGGTTGCAGTTCCAGATCACTTGCTATTCGCACCGATCAAGCATACGCCGTGTGAACCGTTCTCCAAACGATCCCAACCAGGTGGCTAAACCGCGCTGATCCGTATAAATTTTCCACAGCACAGTTGTCGAGTTGGGGCACATTTGTCAAGATTGTGGGCAGAGAGCCACTGGTACAGAGCAAAAGGTTTCTTCACGATTCAACTTAATAAATCGTCAGATCGATTTGGGCCCCTGTCGCGTAAGGTACTTCGAGCTATTTTCCGCTGCATCCACCAGGATGGTGATGGTGCTGATGGTCAGAAAGTGCATTTAAGACTGAATTAAATTGACATAATCTTGGGCGAGCTAACGCAAAGCATTGGAAGCACAAAGTGTCTCATAAATAACCAATCGCTTTGCATAACTAATGATCCATTAGCTCTATTTTCAGTGATTTCGTGGACCGCTGGCGATGATTCAACTACGGATGCTACAGCTGCTGCTTCTCGGACAGCTCTTGGCTGGCCCTGGACCCTTCTGCACGGCCTTGGCCACTGTGGACCAGCTCACCGTGTGCCCGTCCAGCGTGGGCTGCCTGAAGGGCACCTACCTGCATGGCTATCAGTCCGAGAGATTCGAGGCCTTCATGGGCATTCCCTATGCCCTGCCGCCCGTCGGAGATCTGAGATTCAGTGTAAGTGGAATGTGCAACTTTCCTAGGAGCCTGCCTCTATGAATCAGCTTCGTCTCCGCCAGAATCCCAAGGGGATGCCCAAGTTGCTGGGGCTGTACAATGCCAGTGCGCCCAGGATGGACTGCATCCAGAAGAACTACCTGCTGCCGACTCCAGTAATCTACGGCGAAGAGGATTGCCTCTACTTGAATGTCTACAGGCCAGAGGTGAGTTAAAATCGGTTCGGGGGCAGTAGTGATGATCCGGCTTGGTGAAATCCTGTCCAGCTTAAGTGATTGCCTTATTTAGGTTCGAAAACCGGCACTACCTGTAATGGTCTATATCCATGGCGGAGGCTTCTTCAGCGGCTCTGCAGGACCGGGAATAACAGGCCCAGAATACTTTATGGACTCGGGTGAGGTGATTCTGGTGACGGTGGCCTATAGACTGGGACCCTTTGGTGAGTCCAAGACGCTTTCAACGTGAAAACAGTGTAACTCCTGAACATTGCGTTTTACACAAAGGATTTCTATCGACGCAGGATGCCGTGATGTCTGGTAATTTTGGCCTGAAGGATCAGAACTTGGCGCTGCGTTGGGTGCAGCGCAACATACGTTTCTTTGGCGGTGATCCTCAGCAAGTGACCATTTTCGGCCAGAGTGCCGGTGGAGTTTGTGCCCACATGCACCTGCTGAGTCCCAGATCCCAGGGCCTCTTCCATCGTGTGATCAGCATGAGCGGCACGGCCAATGTGCCCTTCGCCATTGCGGAGGAGCCTCTGGAGCAGGCGCGCCTCCTGGCGGAGTTTGCCGAGGTGCCAGATGCAAGGAACCTGAGTACAGTGAAGCTAACCAAGGCACTGCGTGGAATAAATGCCACCAAACTTCTGAACGCCGGCGATGGTCTCAAATACTGGGATGTGGATCACATGACCAATTTCCGCCCAGTGGTTGAAAGGGGATTGGAAGGCGACGCTTTTCTCCACGAGCATCCCAAGGATATCCTGGCCCAAGGAAATCCGACATCCATTCCCCTGCTTTTGGGCACTGTTCCAGGTGAGGGAGCTGTGCGTGTGGTGAACATCCTGGGCAATGAAGCGCTCCGCCAGAGCTTCAACTCCAAATTCGACGAGCTGCTGCAGGAGCTGATAGAATTCCCGGCCAGCTTTAGCCGAGAGAGGCGCGAAAAGATGCTGGATCTTCTGGTGAAAGTATATTTCCAGGGCCAGCATGAACTCAACGAGCAAAGCGTTCAAGGGTTTATGAATGTAAGTCGAAAGGGCTGGTGCTAGACAATTATCCAAGTCAAAAGATACAATGGCCAATAATCAATTTGCCTGAAGCAATCTAAGAATAATTAAGTCTTTAGCAACCAGTTCTCTGTAGTTTCTATGTTTACACATAGTTTATTTATAAACCCCTTCTTTCCAGTTAATATCCGATAGGGGTTTCAAGCAGCCCCTGTACAATACCATTCGGAAGAACGTTTGCCACCCGCCGAGCCCTGTCTACGTTTATAGTTTCAACTATCGCGGACCTCTGAGCTATGCCTCTGCCTATACAGCTGCGAATGTGGCCAGAAAATACGGAGTGGTGCACTGCGATGACCTGCTCTACCTGTTCCGCAGTCCACTGCTTTTCCCGGATTTTGAGCGGAACTCCACGGAGGCGAAGGTGATCCATTCCTTCGTGGATTACTTCGTGCATTTCGCGAGGTTTGGGTGAGTCTACTATGGTCTACTATACTGTTTAATGAATTATAATGAATCAATATATTTCGTAGAAAACCCAGGAATTCCGAGTCACTGACCCCCTGCTCCATGGAGGTGCTCCAGTCACGTCCCGACGGAATATGCGATTATCACGAATTCGCAAATGCAGCAGACCCCTACAAAGGCTGCGAGGTTCACGTGGCCAGCGAATTCCAGACGGACAGGGTGCATCTATGGTCCCATATGCTCAGCGAAAAGTCGAATTGTTCGTAAGTCTGCTCAACCGATAAAAAATGTACATATAAACACGGTTGGTACTGAAAATGCACATAAAATAAGATAGAACCAAGCTATTGTAAGGAAATAAACTACTACCAATACGTAAGAGCCAACATTTCAATGTTTCTGTTATTTTTCTGTATAATTAGGGTTAAAAGTTACATAATTGAATAACATTAATAACTGTCTGGTATTTGCTTTGCTTTTGTATTTCTAAGTGTGCCCAACATGATAAGCTATTAAAAGAATTTTCAATACGTGGGTTATATTACGGCATTCTAAAAATGTTTGAGGGTGCCATAAATCAGGTTTCGCATATTAAGTATACGCCGCGTGGCGGCAAAGCGAAATCAGTTCGTAATAGATCAGTAGTTCTTCCTCGCTTAGTTGGATTGCCATTGCCAGTGGATTGTTTATTCATAGATCAAGTGAGTTGTACCCAGGTTACATATGATAATTATTTTGTTTATATTGAGTAATAACATATTAGCTAATGACTGCCTATTTGCATACTGCATACCTCCTGCGACTTCATTTTGATGTGTAGAATTCGTACGATAACTTCAACATGTATGTTAGAGGCAAAAGTGCAATGAACCTTTTGTGGCTGGCAAATTGGGGTAACACATGCAATGTATCCCGAGTGCCTGGATTTGTGTCAACCTCGCACAATTAAAATCAATAAAGCGCAGTGAAATCACTCAGGTGTTTGACAATTCCTGCAGGACATTCGTCAGTCGCATTTATTACTGGGTAGTGGAAAGATCGACCATGGAACTGCGTCGGAAAATCGCTCTGCGTGTTCTGCCCCTATTTTTTGTCATATTTTTATGCACAATGGGCGAGGCATATCTGAAGAGCATCCGCGTGGATGAGATTCCCTTTGCCGGAAGAAAGGTCCTGGCCAATCGGCGGTCCAGCGGCATTCATCTCATCTCGAGTCTGGAGCATCAGCGCACATTTCTTCACCTCTTCCATGTGCCGTGTGAGTTGAGCAACCGATCTAGGAATAGAAAGTGTTCTTTACATGGATAGGCCGTATATTTTTCCATATTAATCCAGGAAGTTTATAGATCAAATCCTCTTTATTTTGAACATAATTTAATATATTTTTTAAATGATGGCTGATTTTAAAAGCCATCAACGCATTGAAATCATTTTGAGCGACGAATACATGTAAGGCTGAAAGTATGCAATATTTTTTGCCGTTTCAAAATAAAAATGCGATAATCTTTAAACATGAAATATTTACATTTTTGTTATCTACCGAAGCATTTGAATACCTTTTTAAGGATCGTAAAATATCAAATTGTTACGCTTTTATTTTCCAGACATCATTTGCTTTTACGCCGCAAAGGGAAAATGGCCTTATGTGCCGGGATTCATGAAATACCGGGTTGACAATGCGGCACGCAGTTTTTTCAATCAGAACGACAGTTTCATCAAACAGTTTTGCACCAAGTGGATTCAGGTGAAGGAGTGCTTTCGTCCCTTATTCGGTGTGTTGCAACTCATTAAAGAGAACAGAAATAGATTGACCTATTTATGAACCGATTTCCAGACAAATCAAATACCACAGATTCGGAAGTGGAAACGTTGGATGCCAAAATTCAGGGACAACGCTGCAACTGCGACAAGTTGCTCCTCTCAACGGAGCCACCTGTACCGGTCGTCTACTTCGACAAAAACTACATTGGGAACGTTAGTTCGGAAACAATTATGAACACCATTGAATTCCTGGAGAGTTTCCTGCCGCCGCCCACTAAAAAACACAAGCGCAAGAATCGCGTTCGTGGACGTGTAGATGATATGGATATTGAATAGATATTCACTTTCGTAACGCACTCAAATTTAAATTTTATTCATCATAACCATCGTTAAAATTTGAATTCAATTTCGTTTAGCAGCCCTTTTCTAGAGATGTTCACTAGTCAGTCACTATAAATAATGCTCATCATATTATGGCACAATACAAATTCTCCAATTAAACAGAACGCAAACTTAACTTACCTACATAGGTTCTTGTTTATGTTTTTATAAATTATATAAAAGATTATTATATATTAATATATTATATAAAAGATTAATGAACAAGAAATAATAACAAAATTATATTTAAAATTCCTTTATATCGTTAAACAGAACTATACGATTAAAATCGATACTTGACTTATCGATAGTATCATCGATATTCCCATCCCCAATTGGAAGGTATATATTAGCGGTCGCCGGACGGCCACACTTATTGCACTGACTCCAATTGGAAAGCCAATATCGTTCGCGTCGCGGAAGAAACAAGAAACTAAATCAGCGAGAAGCACTGCAATTGCATTGGTTATTTTTAAAGCACAACCGCGATTAGAGGAAGTGTCTCCTGGTAGACAATCGAATTGGCCATATATCGGCAAGAGTGTTATTAAAGAGAAGCGCGTAGGTGTGCCAACAGCCCAAGCAAATTCTTTTGCATTCGCTTTTGAACCGCTTTCATCGCGAGTTCCATTTCACAGTGTGCGTGAGCAAAAAGCGTGTGCAAATAACTTTTGCCGCGTTGTCCGCCTGCTGCGAATTTCATACCGAAAGAAGAGAGAAAGAGAGAGAGAGTACCGATCGGGTGAATGTCGCAGAAACACCAGAAGCAATCCTACCAACCGCTCCCAACGGCGGCCGCCATGGACAATCCGGCGATGATCCAGAGCAGCGGAAGCAGTGGGAGCAGCTCCTCCGAGGAGGGCGGCAGTCGAGAGGATGTGGCCAATCTCTCGCCGCTCGGACTGCCTACGACCTACTCGTCACAACAATTAATGCCCTCGGATACGGACAGCATGGAGGAGGAGCGCCACCGCCTGCGTCCGCATCACCACCACCACCACTCACTGGGCGAGCACCACCACATCCCGGGCATGCCACCCTCCGCCGCCGTCCCCTCGCGACTCTCCAGCGTGGGCAGATCGCAGTGGTTCACCGTCACCGTTCTCTGCTTCGTCAACCTCATCAACTACATGGATCGCTTCACGATCGCAGGTGAGTCGAGGATCCTTCTTTGGACTCCCATAGGTTTCCTTTCTATGCGTTTCGGGATCAAGCACTTGGGTTGCACAGATAGGAACATTTGTTGACACTTTTGAAGAAGATTGCTGAGATTATAGATCAGGCAGCCCAAAATATTTAAATTATGTCCACAATTATGCTATGTACATATGTATACATAGCATGTATTTATTTATTTATCAGGCAAAACAAATTTGTGCTTGCTTATCAATTTTTCCATTCCTTTAAAAGTAAATAACAACAACTCAAAGCGCTTTTTTGTAAATCACACTTTTATTTTGTTGTCATGAAACCATTTAAATTGCCCAAAAACTCGTGAACAAATTATAATGTTATAAATTAAAAGTCGCTAATACACAATAATACAATACCTAGTCACTAGAAATTTACACCTCATCGTTGACCATGCGAGCTCCATTGTTTACAAAATGTATCATAAGATTGCCTGCGAGAGAATTTGATTAGTGAATGATTAGTCACTTACAAGTGAATCATGCGATCCAAATATATTCAAACATTTATCATTCGCGAATGCGCTGATAATATGGATCGTTTCTCTGATATATGGATCACTTTTCTTTTTGCACCGAACTCGGGATATTTCCACTGTGTGCTGGTGGTAATCAATCAAAGTAAATTTCGCCTAAAACCTTATACATATGTATATTATTTCTAGCACTCAGGTGCGATAAAGTGGAGTGAGTAGTTCGGCTATGGCACCTGACCTGCTGCCTGGGCGAGCTTAGCACGGGGGTAATTGTGATCGGCGATTCCCGCGATTGTGCCCGCCCGCGTGACAATTACAGGGTAATCTCATGTTTCAGCCCATAAGTGCAGGACGGACACACTGCCCACATCATTAGTGTTTATTATTGGAAACATTAGCGAAGGAAATGGATCTTAATTCATGAGCTTGCACTATGCGGGCGGCTATTCATTGGACACTTGTTGCTTTTTGTTGTTCTTTTCCCTGTATACTCTTGTCTGGAAAACGAGAGTCCCGATTGCATTTTCTGTTTGGCTGGCGGGCTATCTCAGTCAGTTATACAAAACAATGTGTAAATTGAATGGAACTTGAAACTTGTTCAAGTTACATGGCAAAACAAGTTATTACTGATTATACAAGCCAAACACAGCCCACCGTTTAATTTGCATTTCTAAATAATTGTATATAACAACTATAATTTTCCAATTTCACAGTCGCTGTGAACCTGAACAGCAAGTTCTTTCCGAGTCAGCACAACTTTTCCATTCAAGGCCATGTGATAATGTATCTTTATCTTGTACTGTATGTGCACTTGCAATTAATTTGCAATTATAAATCACTGGCTATTACTTATCAGTTAATTGCTTCAGCGGCAATTCGAAATCGATCTTACACCCATTTTCGGCTGCAAATCAAATCATAAGCTTTTGAAAGCAGCGGATAGTGACTAAGAACATCATACGACTTTTTGAGCAGACAGGAAGCGGGATTATTCATTCCAAAGGGCGATAGCACTTACATACCAAACCGACAAAATCTCTGTTCACATATTATATTCAATTATATATCGCTCTTTCACTCGGATGTTTTACTAATATCCATGGGCGTCTAATTGATGGAAAAAACATGTGTTTCTGTTTATTTTGAGAATTCTGCGAGCGCAAGGTGAAATAGAAAACTAAAATAAACAATGGTCAAGTCGTTCATGGTTTTTGTTTCGCCATTTTTCCAGTAGCATTGTTATTATCATCAGCAACACCACCATCCCCCGTTGATGCCCTGACTTTTGGGCCTTATCAAGAAGTGGCTGAAACCAGAACCGCTGCACAATAAATTGCATTGGATTACAGCTGCTGTGCACGTGGAGTTTTTGGCCACTTTGCAGTGATTAGATTACTTGGCCATTATTTGTTTTGCTTCTGACTGCTCTGATTGGCCAGCCCTTTGGCATTTACTGCGAAAACGAAGAGTTTTGCCACGTTTGCACTGCAATCATACATACAAATGTACATGTCAGCTGATGTCTGGCCAACCTAATTGAGTGCATTTAATTATAATTTTAAGTGCGTCTCGGCCTTTGGCTTCGACCTCCGACTTTGCTGAATTTTGCATGGCTTTTTAGCACCGACTGACGATAGCGGTGTGATATTTTATAACCACCTCGTTTGGTCAAAACATTGGGGGCCCCCTTCATTCATGATCGTGATCCGTGCGGGGCTATTCTGTTGTTGACAGTAAATTTCCGTCAAATTCTGCACCGACAGCGAACTTTGATCGGGCCAAGAACTGGCATTTATTTTGGTCAACAGATATGTGGACTGAGATATATAGACCAAGATTCCGTTCTGCTGTGCTTCCGACGTAATTTTCTTGGCCCCCATCCAAAGCAAGAGATCCCAATAATTGTCTATGTCAATTGATCCTATAGAGATTTCTGTGGCATTTTGTATGTAGATACAAAACATAGATCTGTTTTGGTTATTTTCAAATCTTTTGCAATCGCACTTTTACTTTTTCTCATATTTTCGACGATTGTTTTGCATATTTGGCATTTGTTTAAACTTCAAGTCACTGTGTTCGGTTTTAATTTTCGCTTTAAATGTTTTTTTTTTTGCCAAAGATACATAAAAACTTTCCATTTTGTTGCCATCCCAGTTGACGAAAGAAATAACAATGAAAAGAAAATATAAAATATGCAGCCTTGGCACACCGAAATTGTCAATACCCTTGGAAAATAAGCTTCAATTTCTTGGGCAAGTTAACCAACGGAGTAAAATCATTCACTCCGACATTACTGAATCAATTCAATTGCAAAAGCATTTATCCAAATCGAATTGCTAAATGTGGTGCCAACTTATGAATAGTTTACTTACGTCTGCCTCAAATTTGAATAGTTTAAAAGGCGAGTTCTTTAAGTTACACAAAACGTGCGGATGTAACAAATGCATTTGTTTAACGTCAATGGTTCTATTCTGCATATAACATACGTTTATACATATGTATATTTGTGTCAACGACCTACGCAAAGTGCAGTGCACAACAAATTGAATTAACGAAAGGCAAATGCAAACAAAAAACCAACAAACAAAAACACAAAAATACATGTATGTCCGAAGAATAGTAGAAAAAGTTGGGGTAGGGAATGTCTGGAACTCGGAACTCGGTGGATGGAACACTTTTCTATGGGCGCCGCCGCTTTCACAATTGATTTCCACCTGGCCCACCGAAAAGAAAGAAAGTTTTTCTCTAAACACAATTCAAGTGCTCCGCTAAGCATTCAAATGCATTCCGAGCGAAAGCCACAGCCTCAGTGGTTTTTAATTATATGGTATTCGGCCGAAATATCTGTCAGATATTCGTTTATTCATCGTACGATTTTAAAGCTTACGCTGCATGTCGCGCGATTTTTCAAGGCCGACGTCATCAGACGCCACAGAAGGGGGGAAGGGAGATGAATAGCTGAGGTGCAGGAAGAGAGGGGGAGAGTGACTGAGAACAGTCACTTTCGGTCGCAAACAACTTTTTTCATTCATGGTAATGAGAGTCCCGGCTTTGTTGTTGTGGCTTCTGCAGTTGCCTGGTTATGAGTATTGGCTTTTTAAACGGATCAATGTTCTCCAGATTTCTCTGGCCACAGTACGGTGCGTTCCTTTAGTGCTAGCTTCGGTGAAATCGCAAAGAAACACGTATTTCGACCATTTATATGAACACATTTTAAGTATATAGGTATCATTTTGAGATGGGGAAACATTTCATTTTAAAGTCTTACAGTAACTTCCACTTGATATTGTCTGGCTTCCAGAAAGTTCGACTTTGGCCAGCATCAGTGATTTTTTGTAATAAAACCTACCATTGCGAAACGCACTGTCACATTTATTGAGCACAAGAGAGAACAGGCCAAAAAGGGAGAATTCGGCAAGAGAGATAAACAGGTTCTAAAAATGCGACAGCCGGCTAAAAATGATATAAATACTAAAAAATAAATACGTTGACGAAACTTGGGAAATGTGGGCAAAAATGGGAGAGGGGAGGAGGAGGTACCTACACACGGATTCATAGTGACTTTAATTATTTTTTGTTTTTGGCCAAGAAGTGCCCATAAACAGTCGGAATTCCTTGCGCGTAGCGTGATTACCCGTTGAGTATACGAGATATCAATATGACATACATACATACGAACATATTTAAATACATATGTACAAGGAATGCCTCACCCAGACCAGGCCCACTGTACCCCCGCTCCACCTCTCTCCGCCAGTCTCCCTCAGCCCGCAATCGCAATGCAGTACATACACTGACACCCACACGCACACACTTATCGCGTGGCGTCCCCCAACCGTTACGTCACTAGGCAAGGCAAACAAACACGCTGATTGGTCGAAAAACATCGTACGATAAATTTCTCAAAGCGAAATGAGCGAAAAGACCCAGAAAATGAAATAATTAAAAAGCAAAGGCTGATTCACTGCAACTTGTCTGCTTCGTGCCACGTTTCGCTTCGTTTCGCGGGGGTTCGTGGAGCTTCGGCTCTCTCTCGCGCTCTCTCTCCCGCTCTCTTTTGGGGGCACAACTTGTTGAGCTTTTTGTGTGTCATTGTTGTTGCTGCCGCATTTGCCGGCTTCTGATCTCAGACATTCTCTCTCTTCCTTCCCCACTCTCTCTCTCCCCTCGCCCACTTGATTTTTGTGGGCCGTTGTTTATTTTTGGGTACTCAAGCACTTTAAGTAGTTATTTCATTATATGTATGTATTTCTTTTGGCTCTTTTTTGGCTATTCCGCAAAGGCCAATGTACGAAGAGAGACGCATAGAAATACGGAGCTTAATAGCGGTTTTCGTTGTTTGAGCTGCATGTAGAATGCAGGAAGTAGCGTTAGATCGGCCAACAGTTATTGACGAAGGTCGTTTAGCCATTAATTCGCTAGTTGCACATCCGTTTGTTAATGAATTTTTAAACGTCGAAAAGTTGAAGACGAGACTTTCAGGAAATACACACACACACACACCTGAAAGAAAATGTGTGCGAAGGTGATTGCGACGATCGATATTCAAATCATGACACAGATTTGCATGACGATGCAACAGATCGATACATTGGTTATCGTAGCTACGCAATAAGTAGCACGATTATATTGATCAACACTTCGATTATTATCAATTGGAAACATATTATCTTCAGCTGATAAAAAGTTGTTGATCTTATCAGTAATTACTATTTCTAGACTATAAACAGTATTGCATTGCCAATGTTATTTTAAGATAAATAATGACATTGAGATCCAACAGATTGTCACACCCTTGCTTATCGATTGCAGATATTAGCACTGCAAAGGTAACAAAAAGTGGGCGTTGTATTAACTTTGATCAATTAGAGTTTCTCCTATCTTTCCATATATGTATGTATATGTAGGCTGCTGTTTAATAGATATCGATGGGTTAATTAATGGCTCTTTGGGTAAAATATGATGACCCATAAAAACACACGCTACATTCCGGAATTTTCTCCCTGTCATAGTGGGGCTCCCATGGATGGGGAGTGCTAATTATAGAAACATCTCCTCCCTAAACTGAACAATTTGGGGCTTACGTAAAACACTCAAACATAGCAGACTTGTATTAACGATTTATTTAGTTTGGCAATTAACAACTCCCGCTGGCGATGGGCTGATATGTACAATGTGCCATGTAGCATATCACACATCACGCGAATTTCCAATACATAGTACCAATAACAGAGTAGCACATAAAAATATAAGTCTATTTATATCTCCCCAGTTACTTTTCTAAAATTTACATTTCGAAATGGATCTAACCCACTTTATCCTTTCATCTTTCAGGAGTCCTCACAGATGTCCGATCAGATTTCGACATCGGAAATGACAGTGCCGGACTTCTCCAGACCGTATTCGTTATCTCGTACATGGTGTGCGCCCCCATCTTCGGATATCTGGGCGATCGCTATTCTCGCCCCTGGATAATGGCGGTGGGCGTGGGTCTGTGGAGCACCACCACCCTGCTGGGGTCGTTCATGAAGCAGTTTGGATGGTTCATCGCCTTCAGGGCGCTGGTCGGGATCGGTGAGGCCTCGTACAGCACCATCGCACCGACGATCATCTCGGATCTGTTCGTGCACGACATGCGCTCCAAGATGCTGGCACTGTTCTACTTTGCCATACCCGTGGGATCCGGTCTGGGGTGAGTGTTCCGCTCGAGATTGTCGGCCAATGTCCAGGTCAATGATCAACAGTCCGGGAGGATCGGCTCTTATCATCCGTCTACGGATCCGACTTTGTTTGCGCCTTATCATGCGCTGGCAACAGGCGATGCGGGCCAAAGTTTGAGGACGGATGATAATCAGTCAATTCTCACTGGTGAAGCGTGAGAAGAGACACGTGACTCCTTACTTTTGTAAATTGAAATTGATTTATTTTTGGATTGCCGACAATTGAAGGCTCTAATTCAATTAGAGTGCTGGGTCAATTGGTCGGGTCGATTGGAATTTATGCAACGTCTAATTGGCCGCCAATGCAACGCGGTTGTCCAAGCTATCACCATTCATCAGGATCGGTCTTATCAATTGCCCCTTTGTTTTTGTTCTCCAAACGTAGGTACATTGTGGGATCTAAGACCGCGCACCTGGCCAACGATTGGCGCTGGGCCCTGAGGGTCACACCCATTCTGGGCATTGTGGCCGTTCTGCTCATCTTACTCATCAAGGATCCGGTGCGGGGTCACAGCGAGGGATCGCACAACCTGGAGGCCACCACCTACAAGCAGGACATCAAGGCCCTGGTCAAGAATCGTTCCTTCATGCTCTCCACGGCTGGATTCACGTGCGTTGCCTTCGTGGCCGGAGCTCTGGCCTGGTGGGGACCTTCCTTTATCTATCTAGGCATGAAGATGCAGCCCGGCAACGAGGACATTGTCCAGGACGAGTAAGTGTGCACCCCCTGGTAACCAAAAGCCCCATTTTCACGATGTTTATCTATAAAACTCGTCATTTAATGCCTTGAATTTCTGTACAACTATTTGCTCGTGAAAATGGGGCTTGTGCCCACTCTTTAGACACCGACCCCCCAAAAAAAACCCCGAATATCGAGCTGTGCGCCTTACAATGATTTCCGATCCGTCGTCAAGCATCTCGTACAAGTTTGGTCTGGTGGCCATGCTGGCTGGACTCATCGGAGTTCCGTTGGGCTCCTTTCTGGCCCAGCGACTGAGGGGTCGCTACGAGAACTGTGACCCGTACATCTGTGCGGTTGGACTCTTCATCTCAGCTCCGATGGTATTTGCTGCACTCGTGGTGCCGCAGACGAGCGAGAGCCTCTGCTTTTTCTTCGTTTTCGTCGCCCAGGTGGCACTGAACCTGTGCTGGTCCATTGTAGCCGACATCCTACTGGTAAGATGGCTTGCAGTCAGAAACGAGAAGCATCTGCAGCAGCAGCAGCATCAATGAAAGCGCGGGAATCAAATGCTAAAAGCCAGCCAGCTGATTATTGAAAGCACTCCACGTTGAATTTGTTGAATTCTTGAAAAGGAGCTCTACTTTAGACCCCAAAAACTTGCCCTAACACCCCTCGCTCGTTTAATTGTTAATGCCCCGAACATGCACGAAAGCGTTGTTATCCATTCACGAGGATTAAGAACTCCATGAGATGGATAACGATGTTCTAGTGTATATCGGGTTCTCAAGCTTTGGCATAACTAACCGAATGTACCCCAAAATTCCAAACCCCGCCCTTAGTGTTGCGTTCAACTTTGGAGTCATCACCATGTTGGCGGGCCTGCTGGGCGTGCCACTGGGCTCGTTCCTGTCCCAGTACCTGGTGAAGCGTTATCCCACGGCGGATCCGGTGATCTGCGCCTTTGGGCTGCTCGTGAGTGCGCCGCTGCTGACGGGCGCCTGCCTCCTGGTGAACAGCAATTCGGCTGGCACCTATGCACTCATATTTTTCGGGCAGTTAGCTTTAAATTTGAATTGGGCAATTGTTGCGGACATACTGCTGGTAAGCCAAGTTCCTCAAAACGGGAGACACATTGAGTCCCGGAATCTAATGCTTTTGTAAATTTGCACCCACGTATTGTTTGAGTATCGTAACTACGTAACTACACATAGAAAACCTTAGTTTTAGCCATTAACTTTTTACTGTTATAACACACTCGGCACAACAACAACAACACACACACACACACACACACAGCTTGCCTACTTACAATTGCCTTAACTTTATTTACTTGAATTATGTATGTTGTCTTTGCCCGCATCTTTTACTGGTGGTGGTCATCTGATACTCCATTTTGTGGTTGTTTCATGATTTTTGGGTGCGGTTTTGAGTTCAGTAAACCGAAGAACTTTAAGGCAGTTACACGTCTTTAAGTTCCGAAGGCCCGTACATTATCATTAATCCCCCGAGATAATACCAATTTATTTCGCCTTATTGCTTTTTGTAAATGTAATCAACGTAGAGTTTTCATCTTATCAATCTAGCTTTCATCCCTCTCCTGCTCCATTTTCTTGGGGGTTAAGGGAGTGTCCAACCCCCGAAAACACTTGCAATGTGCAAATATTCCAGCACTCAACCCCCAGTGGAGGTCGTATAACCTTGTTAAACCAACGCACTTCCCCAAATTGCAGTGGAAAACCAACCCGCACTTCATATTCAGCCCCATTTCACGAGACCAAGTGTCGAAATTCTCGTATTTATATTACATTCCCTTGTCTGGCACATTTAATTTCGGGGTTATCTTTGGGGTGGTCACGTTTGTCGGATTCACGGAGATAAGCCAGTGATAACTGATAAGGAAATTAAAAAGCCGTATCAGTGTAGAGTCAAGTGAATCATATATTTGTATTATCGCATTTAGACGGGATTTTGGAGTAAACTTGAAAAAGTATAAACAAATCATAAACTTAAAGATGAACAGCACATTTAAATGAATTCTAGAGCAAATGAGGTTGGTACCCTGCTTATGTCATTAAAAAACCTCAACAACTGATTAGGTAGCCCAGATTGATAAAATGACCCCATTCAATTGGGAAGGTGTCTCAAGATACTGAAAGTTAGGTAATCCCTGTAAGTAGCTGGAAGGTATCCCATGAATGAGTACGATATCCACATATATAAGCTGCTGACGACTAGATAGTGGATATGGAAACCCGTGGACATAATTCCTTTCGAAAGATACGTACGTAGTATCTCGTACGTACGAGGGGCTGTTCTAAATTTGGCAGTACGTCAGAGCAGGCAGTCTATTGTACAAATACGTGTAGATATATATAGTACCACAACTCACGCCCCCTTAATGCATTGCTTTTTGACCACGCACTTGGTTCCTCTATTTTTTGTGACCATTTTGCCATTTTGCCATTGCAAACGATTCCGTGACAGAAATAAGCAATCGCATTTCGCTTGCCAGCCAACTTACCCGATTATCTAACCCCGAAAAACGTTGGGGCGATCGGCCCACCTTGGTGGCGTTATATTAATTGGGCCTTCGCGATAAGGAAACCGTGATTAGAGATTGCCATTATCTGGGTACTTTCGTTGCTATTGTGTCTGCAGCTCCGCAAGATCAGCTACAGTAAATGGGAACTGCTGTAATATCAGAGGTGTTTTGCGTAATTTTTTTCTCGCTTTTTTGCATTAATGAGATCACACACACCCACACAAAAAAACACGCTGCCTAATACACACGCATCGCATCACCCGTAGTTATAACAGTAAAAACTTAATGTGGCCAACAACAGTTTAGCAGACAACAAATTGCCACAGATTCAATTTAAATATCAGCTCATTTACTGATCCACCCTCGCTAAGCAGAGTGCTCTCACAGTGTTCCCAGCCCGGCTCGCCAACTGTTCCCACGTGGTTAGACTCCAACCTGAGAACGCAATGCTAATGTGGCTTTTCTTTTGGAAACCTGTTCTTTGTTTGCTCCCAAAATTCTTGAGTGGCTCCATCTTTGGCGAGCTTTTGGCTAATTTGAATCTGCTGTTGGCACACACACACGCACACACCTGCACATGCATAATCGCTTTAATCCCATTTTTTTTTTATTTGTTGTTAATCAATTATTTTAATTGCGGTTGCGATGTAGAATACTTTCTGGAGCGCAACTATAAGGGCTTTACACCTGGTCGCTCACAGAATGTATCTCCACCTGCTCCGATAGCTGGTTTAATCGATAGTCGTAGCTTAAGAATCGGTTGTGGCTTTTGCTTTCATTATTTGATTTGCTTTTCGTTGTTACTGTTGCACTTTAGCGCTAGAATTCAAGAAAAGACCCAAGTAACCTCTCTATTTTTGTTATACAGTACGTGGTGGTGCCCACACGACGTTCTACAGCCGAAGCCTTCCAAATCCTCATCTCACACGCACTTGGCGATGCCGGCAGTCCGTATCTGGTGGGCGCGGTAAGTACTCAAAGGATTTCTATACCTCAGATTGGAGTATCGGAGTAACCAAATAATCATTCCCATGCACAGATCTCCGAGGCCATCATGAAGCACCTGCACGATAACCCCAGCGACTCTGGACTGACCACCGAACTGCAGAGCATGTCCCAAGTGGCGGGATCCGCGCTCAGCAATGCCACCCAGGCGATCACGGAAGCCACCACCAGTTTGATGGAAACAGCGCGCTCAGCAGCTTCTCAGGAAGTAGGTGCAATCGTTAAAAGTTAGAGATATCTTTGACTAACATCTACCGGTTTGCTTTCAGTACTCTGATGTGGAGCAGTTCGAGGGACTGCAATATGCGCTCTTCTCCACCAGTTTTGTGGAGGTGCTGGGCGGCATCTTCTTCATATTCACCGCCTGCTTCATCATCAAAGACAAGTACAACGCCACGCGAGGACTGCAAGGTAAGCACAATGGGTTGGATTGGATTGAGCTCTAAATGCCCCTATTTCATCTATCTATTAACTTTCTGATTAAAAAGTAACCGGAACAATGAGTAAATTAGCTTGAAAACAAATGTTTAATAACTAGGCTTTCAACGAAACTGTATATAAAGAAGATTTTAGCCCTCTTTTACGATCTTAATTGTTAGAATGGCTACTGTTTAATCAGAAGGTGTCGTATTTGCCACTCTTTGGCTCAACTGTTTTCCGTTTCCGATATTGCCAGGCGACCAGGGAGCGCGTGCGGTTCGATCGCCAGTCGCCTTGGCCAGCGGGCAAAAGGACGTCGAGTCCTTCAACTCGGACTGCCTGGTCCTGTGCACTGACATCGCCCTGCGCGAACGCACGTGATAGCTTAAATATGAAATGTGTATAGGTGTCCAGCACCAAATGATTAGGTTTTGGCCCACTTCCCGGTAGGTGGAATGCTCAAAATTTCGTTAACCCATTCTGTTCTGCGTGCGTTCCATAGTTGCGTTTTTACTAATCTTGACCCTAACCATACCCTGTTCTTCATGGCTTTCTGTGTGCTTCACGTGGGGTAACAAGGTTCTAATGGCTGTGTCTTTATTGTACCTTTTAGATGTCACGGCTCCGCAACAGCAGCGGGATGAGCGCGGACAGATTGCCTAATACCAGCCGATCGTCGAGGTTTTGCTGCGCACTCAGAGCTCCGATGGCATGCCGGGTGAACTGATACTGACTGAAAACCATCTTTAATTTAATTTACGGTCACTCGCACCACGCACATCCCGCATCGGATCAAACTGAAAGCCTTCGGGAACGGCTCAGTTGGGCCGACAAATCCCCGATGTTCATGTTCCTATTGGGAAGGATCGGAAGGAAGGAAGTACCACCATGCCAACGTTCAAGCACGCCACATCGATTTGTAGATATATATACAAAGAATCACTCACACAGGCTTTCACTCCACACCAAGTCATAACATTACACAGATCATTTTACTTGTAAACGTCAGAGGGCTAGGATACCCACGACACTTTGCTTCACACACGTAGTCGTAGATAGGTCTAGCTCTGGTATTTTAGACTAAATCAAAATTAGCAAGAGTTTCTTTAAGCAGACTCGCATTCGAAGAAGTGCTCCCTCAGATCGGATAATGTAAATAGATTATCTCAGGCATCGAATGCGTAGTACATGCAGTTTGGATATTTATATTAGGGTATTTAATATGAATTGTAAATATAGATAAGCACCGGGCCATTGTATAAGTGCATAGTCTATTATTTAATCAGTTTTATCATAACGCCTTAGTTTTACACAGAACATAATTTTAATCATAGCTTTAGCTAGATGTATAACAAATTGGAGAAATATGTGCACCCTCAGCAATTAGTGAATATTACAGCAAAACTATTTTGAACCAAAACAGCACCAATCAGTCCTCGGGTTTGTTTTTTTATTTGTTAAATCTCAATCGAATGCTAGCCTAATTGAAACGGAAATTGAGACCGACATAAAGACTGCGAGCAATCAAATATATTTTTACGTCGATATTTGGCTAAAAATAAACCCAACTAATTGTTTAGCAACTAAGGAAATCATCCGGGGCAATAAAGAAAATAAATAAAACATTTAAATGGGTTTCTTTACATTGTTTAAATGGGTTTTGAAATTTTCGTTTTGAGTTATTTGTTAATTTACATTCTCCTGAGATTTATACTTCTAAATTTTCTGCAAAAACGGAAAAAAATGTTTATCTTAAAACGATTTGTTATTCCCGTTATTTTACAGAAAGTCCAGGTAAGGATACCTTTTCGAAGCCAGTAAAAGTTTTAGCAACGAAATGCCGAAACAGAATGCATAAAAAAAAGTTCAGTGATTACTAAAAATCGCAATTTTCGTTATGTTTACTCCATAATTTCTGGCAGTATTTAGTTTAAATATCGATAATTTTGATTAATTTAATCGACTGAGCTTTTTGTGGGCCAAATTGTTTCAGACAAGTGCAGCCACACTACTTTTGGCCGTCTGCCGACACTATTCCAAATTAATTTATTTGTTATTGTCGCTCCGTTTGGTCTCGTTTTCCAAGCTATCCGCGATGTCCATCTACGCCGACGTTCCAAAAGGACCCGCCATCGAGGTTTTCGCCCTGACACAAGCCTTTAAGGACGACAGCAATCCCAGCAAGGTCAATTTGTCTGTGGGCGGTAAGTGATAATTTATATTTTTCCCCCCAGGATGAAGTACATACATATATGCATGTGCATATGTATGTGCAGCAGTGTGTGTATTACTTAACCGGCTGTATTTGTGTGCGGCTCAATTTGCTATCATTTGCCAGTTTGCCAGTTGGTTCGCCCTTGCAATTCGCCACCCGCCGCCCCTCTGGAGCGCCCGTTTCCGCTGCCACCCAACAGACCCCTTCGCTGGAGGTCATTTGGAAGTCATTGTGGCATATGAATTGCACAGATTTTTCCATCCTTTTCGCTTTCTAATTAGTTGGCTTACAACCAATTGTGGATTTTGTGTGTGTAAATAAGTCAAATACTCTATCTAGTGAAATATTGCGACGTATTTGTTTATTACTTAGTTACGTGTTTTACACATACCCTTTTGTTTCAACTGGTAAACTGGTCATTCTAAATGATTTAAAAAAAGTATTGTTTGTATAAATTACTAGCTAAAATCTCAGTATTTTTAAAGTCCAATTTCCTTAGTAGAGAATTTGTATTGCGACTTTCTTCTCCGTTCAAATTTCTTTCTGACGTCAGCTAACACCGCATTTATGTATTGCCCATTTATTTGTGAGGCGGAAGATGATAAGCCACTTGCGCTTGGTGCTCTGGTCAGGTACACCACATCCATCCCCATTGCCTCCAATTCATCCAAACAGCGGCAATCTAAAGGAACGACAACAACAATGTTGCCGGCGGGTCGTCCAAGAGCAATATTTGTTGATTTCGACGGCGGCCACTTCACCTTTTCGATATTTATGGATGTTATTGCATAATTTGAATAACAATTCCCACCAGCAGACTGGCTGATTATTGTATTTTTGTTTTGTTCGCAAGCCAAGAGTCATTAACCCTTGCTCGTGTAAATGATTATCACAATTTATTCGACTTTTTGTATTTTAGTAGATCTGGAATTAATAATATATTCAATCCAAAAATCACCTGAAATACAAAGCTAATGCTTTAAACTAAACTTACATCCGATCGGGATGTAATATTAACTGGAACAAATGAATGGATACATGTTTATCCTTCTCATTTCCGTAAATTTTTTGTCGCCATGACTTGTTTATCACGCTTTCGCTTTTTTTACAATGCTGCAAGAGTATAAACATTACAAGAGCAATTCAGTCAATTGGTTTCGAATAACCCGACACCAGTGTTTTTCAGTTGCGCCAATAAATAAATAAATTGGCCTAGAAACGAAGCATGGGAACACTATCAAATGGCCTATAGCTTTGCCGATTGATTAGGCTTGTTAAGAGCACTCAGATAAGACCTGAATATGGTATGGATTTCAGCATTTTGACCACCATGTATTCCCCTAAAATCTTACTCATTAGATCTTTGGCTTCTTTCGTTCACAGCTTACAGAACAGATGCTGGAGTTCCCTGGGTTTTGCCTGTGGTGCGCAAGACGGAAATCTGCATTGCCAGCGATGAGGCCGTTAACCACGAGTATTTGCCAGTGACTGGTGAGTAAATGCAAGCTTATCATTGTTGTAAATCAACAAAAGAGTGATTTGGTTTGGCAGGACTCGATACCTTCACCAGTGCGGCCACGGAATTGGTTCTGGGTGCTGATTCCCCAGCCATCAAGGAGAATCGCGTAAGCTAGAGCTCAACTTGAAACTATTTACTCTTTTATTAAACTAAATTTTTCTTGTAGGCTTTTGGAGTGCAGACCATTTCGGGCACAGGTGCCCTGCGTATTGCCGCCGATTTCCTGCACACACAACTGAATCGCAATGTTGTGTACTACTCGAACCCTACATGGGAGAATCACCACAAGATCTTTTGCGATGCCGGCTTCACGACCCTGAAATCGTACCGCTACTGGGACCAAAATAAGCGCCAATTGGACTTCAAGAACATGGTTGCCGATCTGAACGAGGCTCCGCCCGGTGCTGTGATTATTCTGCACGCCTGTGCCCACAATCCCACCGGCATTGATCCCACCCAGGAGCAGTGGATCGAGCTGGCCGATCTGCTGGAGAAGAAGAAGTTGTTCCCGCTGTTCGACTCAGCTTACCAAGGCTTTGCCAGCGGTGATCCTGATCGCGATGCCTGGGCCGTTAGGTACTTCGTTCAGCGAGGCTTTGAGCTCTTCACCTGCCAGTCGTTCGCCAAGAACTTTGGCCTCTACTGCGAACGTGCCGGCAACCTGACGGTGGTGCAGAAGAATGGCGCTACCAAGGCAGCGGTTCACTCTCAACTGACGCTGCTCATTCGTGGTCAGTACTCGAACCCGCCCGCGTACGGCGCTCGCATCGTTTCCAAGGTCCTTAACACACCGGAGCTGCGCAAGGAGTGGATGGCCTCCATCCAGTCAATGTCGAGCCGCATCCGCGAGATGCGTGCCGCACTGCGGGACAAGCTGGTGGCCTTGGGAACACCCGGCACCTGGGATCACATTGTCAACCAGATCGGCATGTTCTCCTACACCGGTCTCAACGAGAGCCAGGTACGCGTGCTGATCGACCAGTACCACATTTATCTGCTGAAGACGGGTCGCATCAACATGTGTGGCCTGAATACGGGCAACATTGAGTATGTGGCCAAGGCGATCCATGCCGCGATCACCGGGTCAGGATCCAACGCTGCCTGCCCTTGTGACAACAAATTGTAATCGTAGCAAATTACCCGCTGGATAGATACGTACAACGACTAGCTATGTACATATATTGGGCATGCGATTTAGGAACCCCAAAGCTGGATCACAGATGTCTGCACCATTGGCATTTAAATCAAACTAACACCAAATGCAATTACTAAACGTTTATACGCGGCTTTTAGATCGATATACACATATTATACACCGGAAATGAATGTTCCACATTGAAGTAAATAGTTTACAAAAATTACGCACTTTTAAAGGCCGTCGAAGATTGGTTAAATAATGTTTAGCTTAAGAACGTTTATTGACCTGTGTGTAAAATTTAGATAAATCGACAATAACATTACTGAAGTATTTAATCTGTGGGGTGTTTCATTCTTTTTTTTGATGGTATTAAAATAGAAAACATTCATAAGCTATTTCTATACAACATTAAGTTGTCAAAAAATTAACAACAAATTAACTTTTGAAAATAACCTCCTGCCAGCACTGCTTGAATTCAATCGATCTATCGATTAACAGTCAGCTGTTTACGTCTGCCAACTTTCATCTCTAGACTCAAATGTAAATTTAACGAAATTAGCAAAACATCATAAGTATTAGGCGATTTTGCGAGATTTTTCAATGGCAGGTCCGAACTATTGCAAAAAAGGCATGAGTTTTAGCCATTAATGAAATAGTTGTTTTGCAGACGATCCAAATAAGCCCTCTACATCGTCGAAAACTGAAGATGCTCCCCTGTTCCCGCCCGCAAAACCAGGAAAAAGAGTTGACTATGGGACAAACAACACATTGGAGCTGCTGGAGCGGATTCCCAGCCAGGTAGTGGATCTCAAGCTGGACGATGTGCTGACTGCCGTCAAGGAAGTGGATAACCTTTGCGACTATCCGCGGTGCAAGACCAAAACCAGCCTGATGGGCCAGGACTGCCAGCATTGCAAGAAGAGATTCTGCTTCAAGCACGGACTGCCAGAGGTGCACGGATGTGGCGAGGAGATCAAGCGGGACGAGCGCAAAAAGTTCCTGCATCCCAAGCCGGCGAAAACCATAAGGCAGGAGGAGGATGTGAAGAATGCGAAAAAGCGTCTCGATGCCAAGTTAAAGGAAATGCAGTTGGGTCGCACTCAAAAAGCAACAGGAGGAGGTTCCAAAAAAAAGAGCGGGAAATAGAAAGACATAGGATTGTGTTAGTTTATTAAATCTTTAAAAATCCAATGTGCAACAATGTGTTACATTTACTTATTCTCAAGCAGATTACCAAACAGATATGCAGAAATGTTTCAATAAGATCGAAAACGTATTGCAATAAAAGTACTTTCCTTAAAAGTTCATTTTTTGTTTTTTAAAAATAAAAACCGTTAGAAACCCGTGCAATACCAAGTCAGTGTGGCAACTCCCTGCGGCGCTGCCACCTGCCGACAGCCAGCTGTTGCTCACAAGCTGATGAAACTTTGCCGCATTTGCAAGTGCAGAAGCGACTGACTGTTTATACGTGCGCAGATATAGAACGAAAAGATAATGTCGAAACGTGGGCAACCGGCGTGGCAAGCTCCCAAGGCGGCGGATCGGCCGAAACTGAAGCTGTTTAACAGCCTCACGCGGCAGAAGGAGGACTTCGTGCCGCTGGACGGGAATAATGTAACGTGGTATAGCTGCGGACCCACCGTCTACGATGCCTCCCACATGGGGCATGCCAGGTGGGTTGGACGCCACATCAGCATTAGGGCATATAATCTTATCTTCCCCATACGTACTACACAGGTCTTACATTTCCTTCGACATTCTGCGGCGCATTCTGTCCGACTACTTTGGCTACAACATCCACTATGTGATGAACATTACGGACATCGACGATAAGATCATAAGGCGTGCGCGGCAGAATCATCTCTTCGAGGCGTACGCTGTTGAGGCGGAGAAGCTGCCCCTGGATGAGCTGCTGGGTCAGCAAAAGGAGGTGCTGCAACGGTTTCAGGATACATGCGCCAAGAATACAGATCCCGATAAGAAGATTATGCTCGACAAGACCCTGCAGCGGATGAACGATGCTGTGGAGGCCCTGACCAAGGCAGTTGGCAAGGGCGAGGAGCATGATATCTCCGAGAAGCGGCTGCTCTACCTAAACGAAGCCAAGGACCCAATCTCCGACTGGTTGGACTCCCTAAAGGGCGCCCAGATCAATGATAATGCAGTATTTGAGGCACTGCCACGCTACTGGGAAGACCAGTTCCACAACGACATGAAATCGCTGAATGTGAGTCATTGCAGTACTAACAAAAATGAATCATTTGCTAAGTTCATTCCTTACAGATTCTCCCGCCAGATGTTTTAACTCGGGTTTCGGAGTATGTGCCACAAATCGTCACCTTCATTCAAAAGATTATCGACAACGGCTTGGCCTATGCAGCCAACAACTCCGTTTACTTCGATGTAAATGGCTTTGACAAGAGGGAAAAGCATCATTATGCTAAGTTGGTGCCAGAAGCATATGGCGATACCAAGTCCCTCCAAGAAGGAGAAGGCGATCTGTCCGTCGCAGAGGATCGGCTTTCCGAGAAGCGTTCTGCCAATGACTTTGCCTTGTGGAAGGCAAGCAAAGCCGGCGAACCCTGGTGGGATAGCCCTTGGGGCAAGGGTCGTCCAGGCTGGCACATCGAGTGCTCGGCCATGGCCTCGGATATCTTTGGGCCCACGTTTGATATACACACCGGCGGCGTGGACTTAAAGTTCCCCCATCACGACAACGAGCTGGCCCAATCGGAGGCCGCTTTCAACGAGGCGGAGTGGGTTAAGTACTTCCTGCACACGGGTCACCTAACCATCGCTGGCTGCAAGATGTCCAAGTCGCTGAAGAACTTTGTCACTATCCAGGAGGCTCTGAAGAAGCACTCCGCCACCCAGCTGCGACTGGCGTTCCTGCTGCACTCGTGGAAGGATACTCTTGACTACTCAGAAAACACCATGGAAATGGCCACCCAATACGAAAAGTTCCTCAATGTAAGATAGAGTAGAGTTGAGTTTATTTATGTTTTTGACCTAGCCTTTGTTTGTTGCAGGAGTTCTTCCTGAATGTCAAGGATCTGACGCGGCATGTGCTGTCCGAAGAACCCCGCCGGCAGTTTGATGCCTGGACAGAAGTTGAGGCCGCGTTGCAGAAGAAATTCTCCAATTCACAGGTCCAAGTACATGCTGCTTTGTGTGGTGAGTATTCAGAAAATGGATATACATTTATATAAGTTTATAATGTTGCTCTATCTATTCAGACAACATTGATACGCGCAGCGCCCTTGACGCCATTCGTGAGCTGGTATCCGCGTCTAATGTCTACATTCGCGACAATAAGACTAGACTCAACAGTCTGCTTCTCCGAAACGTGGCCACATATATTACGGATCTGTTGCATGTGTTTGGCGCAATATCTGGTCCTCGCGGTGGCATTGGGTTCCCCGTCACTGGTGGCTCGGGAGCACAAGCTGCCGGCGCGGATTTAGAGACTACGGTTTTGCCTTACGTTCAATCGCTAGCTGAATTCCGTAACTTGGTGCGGGAGCAAGCCAAAACCCTGAAGGCCTTCGACATCCTGAAGCTCTGCGATGATCTACGCGACAATGTGCTGCCAAATTTGGGTGTGCGGCTGGAGGACAAGGATGGTGGAAAGTATGCCGTGAAGCTGGTCGACCGCGACTCACTTTTAAAAGAACGGGAGGCTAAGCTGGCCGCCGAAGCGGAGAAGGCAGCTGAAAAGGAGCGCAAGAAGCAGGCGGCTGCGGAGGCTGCTGCGGCCAAAGAAGCCCAGCGACGTGTGAATCCCAAGGAAATGTTCATTGGCGAAACCGAAAAGTACTCAGCATTCGACGAAAACGTGAGTTTTATTAAACCACTTAAATCAGAAATCAGTAAACATTTTAATACTGTTTGTAGGGCCTTCCCACTCACGACAAGGAGGGCAAAGAAGTCAGCAAAGGACAGGTCAAGAAGCTGCAGAAGCTCCAACAGCAGCAGGAACAGCGTTACAAAGAGTATTTGGCATCAATTAAAGAAGCCTGAAACCTAAGATCAGAGCCACCATGTTAATGATATTAGCATTTATCCGATTCAAAACCTTACAGCGCACCTTAATAGTTACCATTTAGTTAATGCAAGAGATTTCAGTTTCCAGCTTGAAGCAATCCATCTAATAAAATTATTTTTTCTACGATATTGGTATTTAAATTTGTATTTACAGGCCAGTTTCAGTTTTTGAAATTATTGATTTAAAATCAAAATTAAGTCTACATTTAAGCTGCCAACAAGACGACCTATAACTATAATAATAACTAATAATAAGTCCAAAGAACGGACGGTAAATCAATTAATTGTTCTAAAGTATATGGAAACTATTCACATGGATTAATGAGTACCAATGAGAAGTCAAAAATAAAACCGGACCTGCCTCCATTAGTTATCTCCATCACATCTAAATGACAAAATTAATATTCTAAGCGAGATCCAGATAATTTGGCCTCTGGTATTGCTATGCTATAATCCACTCCAACATTAGATTTCCATTAGAGTTGAGCGCTATCCCCACAAGTCTTTGGTATATCTGCATAGGTTCCTCTGGAATGTTCTACTCAACGTTTAGGATCCTTATAAGCTGCCAATGTCATTGTAGCGCTTCAACTTGTCCGGGAAATTGTCCCTGAACAACACAGGGTCCGCTCTGAACTCCACCGTACGGAGTGGCATGCGGCCGTAGATTTTGGAGAAGCGATCAATGCAAGCCGAACGTTCCCGCATGTGATTCAGATCGGCGGAAAGCATTTCCGTATTGGTGCACTCCGGGCACTTAAACTTCTTTCGAGGGGTAACCTTGATGGGAGGATTGTTGGTGATGTTGGCCACCAAAAAGTTCATGGCAATGTCTTCGCAGTTCATGTGCTCATCCACCCAATCCTTAATATCCCCTGGCATGGCATGTGTGTACATGTGACTCCAGTATTTGTGATGGAAAGCAGCACCTGTCAGAACCATTGATATCTGATTCGTCCACTCCGATTCGTAGTGCCAGCGCATTGTAACATTTTCCCAAACATGAATTCGACTGGGAAAGCCCACAATGTGATCGGGAAACTCTCGCCAAACTTCATATCTATAAAAGAAAAGAGATTAGCCGTGAAAGATCTTCAATTACCGCTTATATTTACCCAAAATCCAACTCATCAGTGGTCAGCATTATGATGTCGTCGTCTATGGTTAAAATAGCTTCCGTTTCGATTTCGGGATATGGATAAAAACGATTGGATAGCTTGTTCTCTTTGGTTTGCCGAATTTTCAAGGGCTTCGATATAGATGGAAAGGTGGATACTATTAAATGAATATAAGGGATTATTACTAATATTGCGATAAAGGACTTTTGATTAACTCACGGTGTGGAGGAGACTTTTTCTGATTATTCCAAATCACCAAAATGCTTTGCAATGATGGCACCACAGCAAGCTTCTGAATCAGCAGGAAGAGACTCTCCACGCGATCGTAGGTAAGGATGACGGCGGTGAAGCCCTGTGACTTTGGTGCCAGCGAGGGAAGGAAAAGGGGATTGAAAGTGGAACGGGCGTTGGTGTCAATGGTATTCCACTGGCGACTGCTTCGGGCTCGTAGAGGAAAGATCCGACTCTCCAGCACCTCAAGAGCAGTTAGTGTCACAGTTTTCAGATCCTTGAAGTACTTGGAAAACAACCACTGCACTTGCTTCTGCATTTCAACTATCTTAACACTCGATATTGCTTTTAGCTTTTGCATTACGGAATGCAGTTCGTTTTCGCGTATACGAACGGAGGCCAGAGACCAATCAATCACATCTTCAAAGGGTAGCACATAGTTGTCCACGGCAATAACGGGAATACAGTGCTGAGACATAATCTCCACCAGATCGGGTTGACCCATGCGAAGACTGCGACCTAGCAGGCAAAATTTACCGCGAGACAGCAGCCGAGGATACTCCAGCGATTTGTGGTGCTGCGACAAAGGGCAGCGCATTTTGAGATCCAAGCTCTCGCAGGCTCCCAAAAGAAGCAACTGCTCGCTGTTGGCCAGAGATATTTCCCTCAGAGTCCTTAGAAAGCGCGGAAGTATGTTCAGCTGGGCTACTACCAATAGAAACTTCCTCTGGGCCGTCGCATGTGCATGTTGTCGCACCAAGCGTGGACTCCACACAGGAATGGCGACATCAAAGCCCGGCCGATAAGACCAAGAGTCAAAGCCACCGCCAAAAATGATGGCATTATCCGTATTTACGTCCAGCACAGGGTTATAGGATGGAGCTCCGCCGGGCAGCATGTTAAAGATGATGTGGTTGGCTCCACGATCCCAGAAGTCTAAGGAAGCCAAGGCAGCGCCCGCCAAGTGCTTGTCAAAGACATTCTGGTTCAGCAGATCCAAGCTGGGCAGAAAGAGGCACGCCTCGTTCGGATTGGAGGTGTAGTAGCGACTCTTGAGCACCGCCTCCAGTATCTGGAAGTACTCGCTGGACAGGGTGGTGGCCGTTTTGTAGCTCTGTTCGTCAACAAACTCCTGCAGCGGATAGATGTAGACCTTAAGGCGGTCGTGCTCGCATTTGTAGATGTTCAGGCAGTCCCAGAAGGTGCAGTTGACATTCCGCGCCCGCTGTTCGGCCTCAGCATTTACGGCGACCTCCTGGATGTGCTCCAGGTCGAGGATCAGCGTCTGCGAGTCCCTTTTCCCGTGGAAGAATCCATCTCGCGGGCTGCTTGAGAGATCCCACAGCAGGAAACCCGCGCAGAGGGCCACAATCACCAGAAGCCCGTAGGTCAGGCAGTTAAGTATTTGTTCCCTGGGATTGGTGTGCGATATGGCCCGTGACTGGGTCACAAAACTCAGCAGATTCTTTATTTTCGTCATTTTATTGCAATTTTCACATATTGTCCTTATTCACTTTTTCCAAAGATAGCAAGACCGTATTGGGGCAACGGAAAATGCTGATATGGCAGTGTTGGTCATGGACCGTTTGTAATATAAGCAAATACACTTATGAATCGATAAATAAAAAATATAATACATCATGTTTCAATAAATATATTTATGAGATGAAGGAGAGTTTTTAATTGTATAACATTCTATTTGAGCGCTTATAACTATTAAAATAAAAGAACACATTGCCAATTTTTTCCCAGTGTGCAAGCCTCAGCTTTCAAGCTTTTCTCAACACTGCAAAAGGTTTTATTGACAACATTGGACCAAACCAATAAGTTCATCATCTGGTGGGCATTACTCTTTGGTCTTCAGAGTAATGCCCATTTTGGTAGCCTTGATATCGCAGCTGGGAAGCTGTTTCTTCAGACTGGCGGCTACGGCCTCCATGTTCTTTACGAAAATCATGTCAAATATGAGCAGTTGTCGCAGATTCTTTAGCTCACCGATCACAGCAAGGCCGGAATCTGTGATGTTATAACAACCGGAGACCTGGAGTCGCTGCAGGGAGCTGCTGATGTGATGCAGTCCCTCCAAACCCTCGTTCTCCAAGTGCTTGCAATTGTGGAATATGACTGTGTCGATATTCCTGCAGTCCTTCAGGTGCTCCAGTCCTATTTTCATGATTGACGAATTTGACGCGTCCACCACTTTGATGGAGAACTTTGTGTTTTCTCCAGGCAACGAGTTGTAATCCTTCCACAGCCTGGAGGGAGCCTCCACAAATCGCACTCCGCCTCCGTTTTTAATAATCCATTCGGCGCACAGACGGTTGGCACCCACTTTTGAGAGCCGTTCCGCGTCCACCTGGTTGAAGGCAACAGCCACATAGCCCCAAATGCCTCGCTGATCCTTGGGATCCCTAGCGAGCAGCTGTGTTATCCTGGGCAGCTTATTTAATAACATTTTGGCGATAAGCGGATCAGCTGGGCCCGTCCGTTGTTTTGCAACACTATATTGTGGGATGCCAGTTTGTCAATTTGGAAAGAATTAAAACGTTTTCATACTGAAACTTCATTTTGCTTAACTAATTTCATGAATATTGGTGAACTTGACAATAATTGCATTGCAGAGTGAAGCCACAGCATCTACAAAATGTACAAAAATGTATATGAACATAATGAAAGGAACATAAAAGACCGTTACATTACTTGCCGGCAAAAGAAGTGTATTTTGCAGCACTGTTTATGAAGTGCATCGGGTCGGGAATCAAATACTACACATTGATTAAAAAATTTCTAAATAACTTTAAATTTAATAAATAAATGCAGTTATTCAAGTGCTGAGAAGAAGGTGCATCTTTAAGTTATGTGTCAAAATCATTAATGATTATTTAGTACCTTTTTTGTGGTTATTTTTAGTACGTTTTCACCGCGCATAAGTAGTTAGTATCTTTTGTGTGGTTATTTTTAGCACGTTTCCACCGCTCATAAGTATTTAGTACCTTTTGTGTGGTTATTTTTAGTACGTTTCCACCGCGCATAAGTAGTTAGTATCTTTTGTGTGGTTATTTTTAGTACGTTTCCACCGTTCATTAGTATTTAGTACCTTTTGTGTGGTTATTTTTAGTACGTTTCCACCGCACATAAGTATATCTGCACGCTGCATCCACGGTCAGTCTGTGTTCAATTTTCACGGCGAGCAGTCCGTTCGTGCGCGTTAGTGCTGCAATCAATTAATTGAAAACAAGATCGGGGTAAATAACTTTGGTGAATGATCAAAGCGTGCGCCGCCACACAGCCAATACGAATCGGTTTCCGTGCGCCTATTGCAAAGTGCTCTGGTAAAATCCACAGAAGTTCTTGCGTGCGAGCGACAGAGATAGCGTGTGTGAACATAAAATCACGGCAATAACAAAAAAAAAACGTAAAAGAAACAACATACATATGCTTGTGGTAACTATTAAAACGGCAACGAGCCTTTGTTTAATGCGCCTGATAAGTGAACAAATCGCGGTTTTAGAACAAAATTGAGAGAGGCAGCAAACAAAGTAGCAACAAATAATCCCTCCCCGCCTCTTCTCTTCTCCATCAAAAATCACGCATTACGTCCGCTGTTGTTGTTGTTCTTGTCAATAAGTGCGCGGGTGTGCGTGCACGTGTGTGTGTGTGAGCTTGCCGCCACCGCAATTGAGGAAAAATACACCAATACATAGGCGGCAAATAAAAATAAGCTGTGCATGTGTACGTGCGCGCAGTGACGTCGCCGTTTAGAATCGAACGTGTTAAAGTGAGGAATAAACAACAAGCGGAATTCGGATTTGGATTTGGACTCGGAATAGGAATCGGAATCGAGAATCATCAACATCAACATCATCGACGCAAGAGATAGACAAACAAAACAGACAGCCAAACATTTGTACATTTCCTTCGCACATCGGCGCATATGTGTGTATATGCGACGTACGTAATAGTTTGCCGCCGCAGACATTAGGGCTCTGTTCTGTCTCTCCCGCTCGCTCTCTCTCTGTCGCCGTCACCGTCACCATCTCGCTCGCGCCCGCTTGTTTACACAAACGCCCACATCCCCCGCCCATCACCGTTCGCCGTCACTTTGAATAGGTAAGTAAATGCCGCATTCCGCCGCCTAATTAAGTTACCAATTGAGTTTCGCCGAATTGAACGTTCACTCTGTTGGTCTCTGTATAGTTACAATAGGTATAATTCTATAATATAGCTGCTTTAATGGTTGCAGTGCAACTTAAATAGGTTTATTATACGCAGATATGTATGTAAATACATGTAGGTAGTAATTAGCACAGAATATATAAATCCAATATAACTAAATTCTCTAAATAATCTTCATCTTACCCATTCTACAAGTTATTGTCCAGAATTAAAGAGAGTCTAGTCCAATGTTTCCAGTGCAGTTCCAGAAATAGTTTCCAGAAATCGTTGAGGTCACACAGTTTCGCCTGTATATCGTACATATCTGTAGTTCTATTCTGAACTCCCGAGGCACCCAGCGGGTTCTATGCAAAAGATGAATGATATACCGGGTCTGGCCATGTTAGATGATAAATGGCGTGCTATATTAAATGATTTATTTTGCTGGAGCCCCCGAAGCCCTCGCTCGAGTTCATTGTGCCCCCCGTGCTCCCGCGATCGCTAATCTGTGGTATCTCACATTCAGATTTGTGGCGCAGATTGGAGTCGGAGGTAAATGTTGAATATGTTGAATAGTAAATGGCTGGCAGCCCAGAACACGCGCCCAAAAAGCCGCAGAGATCGCAACAAAAGAGGCCCGGACAATTTAAGATTGGAAGCGGGCAGCTAAATTCCATCAATCAATTTGAAAACATGAGAAACACTGTGAAAATGATCAACAACACGTTGTGGAAGCGATGTGATCTTTGTCTACTTCCAGTCCAAAGGGTTCAATTAAAGTTACCCAAGCTTGTTGAGCACTCTGTAATATATAGACTAGCTCTGTTTCTGTAGTTTTACAATTCTGCGAAAATATAATATAATGAGTATCGGGCGGATATGCCCAACGTTTTTATTTCGTTATTATCCACAAGCTATTCACATGCTGAGTCAACTGACATTTCCTCAATAGCACAAACAGTTCGGAGATTGATTTTAATGGCATTCGCATTCGTGTACGTTGGTTTTTTCGCTGGAACTAATCGTGGAATAATCATTTCATTTCCACTGCCTCTAATAACTTTCCAGCGGCAATTTCTAAAAAGAAACAATGTTTTACACATTCTACTTTATTGTTTCAGCGCTGTGCCAGTTATTCTACGCCCAGTTGGTTGGCTATTGAATTATTTTTTTTTATATAGATACTGTTTTTTCCCGTTTTCTAATTAGTTATAATTACACTTAATGCAATTTAGTTATGAGGTTCTGTTTCTGTGCCCACATTCGTGAGCTCCTCAGATGGCTGTTCGTGCCGTTTCCATTTTTGCATTTATACATTTTAACATTGATGGGGGATTTTATGATTAGTGCAACTAGTTCGTGTTGTTGCATCTGACTGCTCTTTCTGTTACAAGGGCCGTCTAAAATCTGTCGAAGGAGGGGGAGGTGGGGGAGGCAAAACGATTAGGTACACAAAAGCCCCATCGGACACCAGGCGTCGATGCAATTTGTATTTGTAAGATTTTACTTGGCCCGATAAGCAAGTCCAAGCAGCAGGAATTTCCCCAACTCTTTGGGTTTTGGGTTGCATGGCCCCTGGAACAGGGAAATATCGAGATTATTTGGTCATAAGGCGGTTCCCCTCGTTTTTGCACTAATGGTTCTTGAGATAGGCCTTTCTACTTTGCATAATGTATTTAATAGAGAAAGGGGTACATGGGGTATCCTTTGAAATACAGTGATATACCAAACCAATAGTTAAGATATTCTAAGTCCGTCAGCTTATGCAAAACTCCCTTGAAGATATACTGCTTTGCAGCTCTTTTTACAACTCACAATTAGCAAGTAGGAGAAGCCAAAGTGAATCCAAAGCTTAGATTCAGTACCTGAGCATAATATATTATTATGAAACCGCCTGGGCAAAGCGAGGTGTGAATTCTAGCTAAATTCAGTATCACCTTCGCATCATATGCATATGAGCTGTGCAATTTCAGCCGTAGATTACATCAGGTGGTCTCATAAATAAATGCATTTAATGCTCCGCTGGGTCGCACGTACTGGATGGGGTTCCTGGATTGGCCCTGGATCTGCATGGGATGGGTCTGGATGGGCTGGTGTTCGGCTGGCCCTGGGGAACTGGCCAGAGACCTGACCATGGCATGTCGCTTGTCTCACGAAAGCATCTCGCAGTGATGGAGTCGAGTCGGTGGAGGAAGCTATGGCCATAGCTGCAGCTCTGTGCACCGGCCGGCTCCTCATCATTAGCAGTTTGAAATGCACTCGAAGTGTGGTGCAAGATCGGAGATGTCGGGGCTGCGAGGGTATCCAATTATTTCAGCATTTTATGGCGTAAATTTCCTTAAACCCAAGCCATTTTTCACCTGAAACGAATCGCGGCCAGCGCACACCAAAAAGAAACCCAAGCAGAATAACGTATTCCCCCAGTCTCCTCAGAAAAGGAGAGGAGCACAGCTCCACGGCAGCTACAAATCTTAAAAAGGCATCAAGATTATTGCGCAGAAAAATTCTTTTCTTCACACCTCGGCCAGACAACCCAACGTCGTCGTCGTCGTCTTCACTCCTCAAAGGCCTGGCATGAAAAAAAAGAAATAAACGAAACAAAAAATGAAAAATGAACAAAAAACTAAACAGAATAAGAAACTCAAAGAATTAAATGCGACTTCAAAGAAAGGTAAAACGGCAAGCGGAGCACTGACAAGAAATATGGTCAAAACGAAGCTACGAGGTCCAACACCACCAACAATGGACATCATGTGCAACAACAATAAAAACCAATTTAAGCCGACGTTCAAGCAGGCGGCTTAAAGTGTGTGGCAGGAGTGTGGGGCATGCACCATGGCGTACAGAGAGAAAAACACACCTATGTATGTATTTAGTGACTGATTTTTGCTTAGCTCGATATGAAATTCGGTATGGAAAGAGCAATTGTAACTTGCTTATAGCTTGAATTGTCTGTATACAAAAAAATGAAGACAGAATACCCCCTCTAAGATCTATGTTCTCTTATCTACGTATGAGATATTAAGCAAGGAGTTAGAGAATTAGTGTATTAGAGATTGAATTTGGTATGTGGAGTGCGATTGGAACCACAAATTATGCTTTTAGATGAAAAAAGTATATATTTCTACCAATAAAGATCTGCATTTATGCACTGCGCTGGCACCCGTGCACATTTTTCCCAGTGTACATATAGTGTGGTGTGCGGAGGATTCCTCGTGGGTCTACCTTCTTGTCGGCTTTCGTTTAACTGACGTCCCAAACACCACAGAAAGGGCTACAGCAACAACAGCAACGAAGGCAACGCATACACACAATCAGTTTCAGAAATCAGATTCGGTTCGAAGTTGAATAGTTCTGCTGCTCGGAATTATGTGTACGTACGTATGTCTTGTGGCTACGTGCGGGGTATGGGGGTATCTTTGTCACTGCTGCGATCTATGCTGGCACTATCTGCTTGTCTGTGCGGTTGTGTGTGCAACGTGCACAGCTGTAACTTTGAATTAGGGATATGTCTTGGGTTTTCGACCCGACTTGGATCACTTTTCAGAGAGGAAACCAAACATGTTAAAGTCAATTTTGGAAAAAGGGTTTTTCGGTCATATGCAAATGGAACCTAGTCTGGTTTCAAAGGGATGTCATTAAGAGATCCCAAAGATAGGATCGGTATGGGAAATATCCATTTAAACAAGTTCACATTAAACTTAAGGAAATGGAAAAGAAGTAATATTCCCTAATTTATTTACTTTCTTCAAGAAAATCGTATCTTTTGTGTCACGCTTATTCAGTTAATCTCATTCATAGAAAACTGCACCGCTGAATAGTTTATTATTCTACAATGCATTCAGATTTTAAGAATGAACAAAAGCCGGGATTAAAGGACATTCCTGAAGAGTCAAGCTCATGCTCTATTATTCTATTATTATCTATCCCAAGTACTTTTCACCTTTCCCACAGACACGCAAACCCTCCTAACTCAGAATTTCCAATTCCCAAAGTGGCAGAAACTCCAAAAGGGGGCAACACAATCCGCTCGAATGCATTGAGAGGAAAAACCCGAAGCGAATCCCAATCAAAAGACCCTTCTTTGCGAGAAACAGATGCTCCGTTCTAACACGCACACATTCGAATAGCCCCTACACATATATAAATTCGTATGTATACGTATATAAGTATATTTGACCGATCATATCCAGTAACAATGCAAGTGAAATCCCAGAATCCCTTCCTCTTTGTTGTTGCATCTCTTGCTCCGTCTTTGGAAAACGAGGCCCAATCCAGTTTTCTGTTCTGTTCTGTTCTCAGTTTTTCTGCTCCGTAGCTCCCTGCAGATCTTGAGTTGATTTCGTTTTGGCTTTTTGGGTTCCTGGAGTTTTTTGAGAATTTCGTGCCTGGGCCGTTTTTGTTGCTGTTGTTATTGCCTTTTGTGTTTTTATTTTTTCTTCACACCTTCGAAAAGGCAGGCCAAACTGAAATTTCAACGTTGACTGCAAATCCAATTCAATTCCCAATGGCGGCCCCACTGCAGGAGAGTGTGCAAGCGGGATGGCCGAAGGCGGCAGAGCGAGAGCGCGATACGAGGTGGGGGGATATTCTTCCCACAGCCGGTTTTTGGTGTTGGTGTCGCGCTTGGTTTTCTCACTTGGCCCGATCCAAAGCCGCTGGCCTTTTGTATTTCGTGGGCAGCGTTCTGGGACCACAACGGCTGACAGCTCCAAACTGTGGGTCTTTTTTATTGTTTTGTTTTTTAAATTTCATACCAGGTACTTGAGGAGTACGAGGGCATACGATATCTTTATCGTAATATTATTTATATAAAAGGCAGCTATAGCTAGCTCAGCTACTGAGCTGCAAAACACCAAGCTTAGGATCTTATATTATCTGTAAGTATGTTACGTACAGGTCATCAGAAAGTCGATCTCATGTGCCATACCAACGTTCGTTATGTGTAAGACTTCTTAAGCAGGATCGTTTTTTCTTTTTTCCTTCGCTGCGTTAAGATCCCTTGACAGTCGGCTCAATGTGAGCATTTTTCTTTCTTTCTCGCCTGCTTTATTTTCCATTTTTTGCTTTATTTTGCATCTTGAATGGAATACAATTTGACATGCTTGGGATTTTCATGAGAGCACAAAAAATCGGAAATTATTGCCGCCGCAGATTAATTTTGAACGCGCTGCTTGAGCCTCTCCTCCTGCGGCTTTTCTGCTTTTATCTGATGCACAGATACAGATACAGATACTACATATACTCAAATATACGAGCAGCTTAAGTCGCGGGGATTACAAGTCGTCGTTTTGGTTCAAGGTGAGAGATCCAGCTTTGGACGTCACTCCTTCCAACGCCACACCAACTGGCGATACCAAGGTGTACTTCGCTAGTCCGACGAGGCCTTTCGAGTTTGACAAACACTGTAAAGCGTAAAAAAACGCGGTATCAGGGGCGATTTGTTTATTATCTGCCGCGATAACCGCGCATTTCGGAAGCTTGACTGTTTGTGTAAAAACTGTGCAAGTATGTCACTCGTTCTCAGGTGATATCATCCCCACCGATCACCTCGTAAGGGCTTTTCTGGGAAATCAACTGGTTGGTGCAGGATAAGATTAGCGCCAACAAAAATGGGAGAAAAAATCATACAAAAAGTCTATTTTTATATACTTATGATTTTATATTATAAATGTACATTGCAATAACCAATATAGATGCAAATAAATCTAAAATTGAAGTGGTTTTTGTTCACAAAAATTTTGTATTATAATATTTTATGGGCCAAATATATATTAATTGCCTTTACTTTAAGATACTCGCCGAACTCGACGAGTTCCCAGTTGTTGGTGTTTCCTCCAAGGAGCAGCACCAAGCTTCATATCATCAAAAATGTCATTTAGTCTATAAAGCTTTCCGTTTATGTCGGCGCACTCAAAGTATGTGATCAAACGCGGCCTGAGAAAGGTTTTAGAGTTGCAATTAGGACATGGACGACACACTTGATGTCGTGCGATTCTACGAGGCAATACCTTTCTAGAACTGTGCTTCTCCAGATTCTTTTTCAAATTGGCTTCCAAGGCCTGTTTCTTGAGTTTTGCTGCTTGAATTCGGGCACTTCGTCGTAATACGTTGGGTGGTTCTTTGACCCTTTCTGACTTATCTAATTTTTCCCAATCCACTACCATTTGAGAATTCGGTTTCTCCTGTTCCTTCTGCAAGTTCCTTTCCAATGACTGCTCCCCCTTGAGTTTTGCTTCCAGATTCCGAGCACTTCGTCGTAATGTCACGGGTGGCTCATCTAATTTTTTACACTCCTCTTCCGATGAATCAGTACTGCAGTTCTTTGATCGTCCTAGTCGACGTGGTCCAGCTCCACCTAATCTTCGGCGACTACTTTGGAGCTGCTGCTTTTGCTGTTGCTTCCGAAAAGCAACACCCAGCTCCATGTTCTCCAAGTAATCGCTGACCTTGGATGCCGATTCGGGGCCTACTGTACTCCTAGAACTTACTTTCTTTGAAATCTTTTTGAGACTCTCCTGTTCCTTGCCCATTTCTATTAAATTTTTCTTGGTATGGTCTGGAGTCCTAAGGGTAGAGGAGTTGGCATTCTTTTTGGGCCTTCCTCGCGGTCGCCGAGGTTTGTCAGTTTCCAATTTATGCTGTTGATTATTGGTATCGGCTTCCTTGGACATCATCTTGGGTCCTTCCATACGACTTGTAAAGGCCTCACATTGTCGAGGTTCCAAATTTTCGTCCGAATCATCAGCTATTTCTGTATTATTCTTAGCTGGTTGTCTTCGTGATTCGCGTTCAAATCTATTTGGATTGACAGGGTTCGAGAATTTGGTATCTTTTTTGGACTTCCTTGATTGAAGAGGCTTGGCAGTTACCGAATTAAGACGTTTTATTGGTTTAGGCTGTTGTTTTTTAAATGCTATCCCAGCTTCAACGTCCTCGAAAATATTGTATAGGCCATAAAGCTTGCCATTAATATCAGCGCAATTCAAGAACTTATTTTCAGGATCCACCATATCAAATTTTGCGTATCTATTAGATATACCCTTTGGATCGTTATACTCCGATTGTTTCATTTGTTGTTGATTCTTTGGGTGGTTCTTTTCGCTTCTTGTAAGAACTGGATTGTTAGAAAGCTCCTCATTAATTCTCGGACTACACCAATTGGTTAATTTAACTATGGGCTTACTCAGCTCTTTTATAGTGAATTCGGCTGCTTTCACATTTGTTGTCAAACTTTTTGGTACAAATTCATTGCTTTGTAAGTTGTTGTGTGATATATTCATTTCGATTGTTGTACAACTGACTGAAGTATACTATCCTATTTTTTGAAACTGATTTCAATAGCTACTGAGTTATATCCTAAATATTATTATTATACAAATCCGAAATTAAGCTAAATCAGGGATACAAACTATTTGAATTGCATAAACCTATAAGCAGAAATATTTTGCGTCTTGCACATTGAAAATATTTAGAGAAAAGCTTCTTAATGATCAGCGAGCATAAAGGAAAACCCACATTCACCTGACTGCTGGTCACCACACCCAAAATAAGGTAGATATGGGTATGGCTAGGACTCGATATTTGGCATATGATATCATATCTTATCAAAGAACACGAACAAAGGCGCAACAACAACACAAGCAGTTGTTGCGCTTTATTTATTCTTTATTTATGTGCCTTAGACCAATCAAGCAAAACGGTTTATCATTGAAGCGATAAAAAATACGTTAATTTATTATGCACACACACTAAGAAAAGCACTGACTGTGTGCATATACATACATGAAGAAACGGTTCGGAGCCGAAGAAAATAATAATAATAACAATAAATGTTTACTAATTGCGCGAAATTGAACTTGAAAATGTGAAATGAGTAAATCGCAAGTCAACAAACTTATGTAGTGAGTTCTTTGTCTGTTTGCCTGTAAAACGCTATTGGACTTACAAATCATAGTTGGTATCTAAAAAAATATTGTAGAAATTGGCTTGTATTTTATTAGAAACCAAAGTGTTAATTTAAATGTTACAAGATTAAATGTTGTTCCAGAGCTAAAATTCATTCGAAACATTCATTTTCTCACTCATAGTAAATGCTTGTTTCCATTTTATTTTAATTAGTTCATTCAAGTGATTTTACGCCAGAACGAAAGTTCAAGTGACTGCTGATTTGCGGTTGAGTTAACTCGGAAACTCGTCTCATTTTGGTCGGATTAACAGCAGAAAGTTGGCCGGCCTGTAAAATGAACAAAGCGCGCAATTATAAACTCTATTTTTTAGTTATTTAATTAGCGGACCCAGCCGGAGAGGCTGAAATAATACGAACGACGTCTCTCGTATCTAGAGTGGAAAATTAATGGCTACAAAATTAAATTTATTTTTGAAAAAAATGAGGGAAAAAGCGGAGGAGAGGCAAAAACAGCAACAACAACCGCAGCAGCAGCAACAACAAGAACAAGAGCAACGGACCTGGGCTGCCAGACAGCCTGGCAATTTTGTTTCTTATTGGATTTTTATACGAGCTTGCGAGCGTGTTTGTGTGTGTGTGCGTTAACGTAAGTGTGCGAAATTTATGTTGCTATTTGCGTCGCGATGGCTGCGCTGCCCACTGTGCTGCCTCTTATCATGGGTTCTGCCCGTTGTGGTTGTTGTAGTTGTTCTCATTTCTAGTTGGCTGCTGGCACGTTACCTAATTAGTTGCCGCAGACAGCGCGACGTTTTTACCTTTTAGCGGTACACGTACAAACACATTTACGTTTACGTATTTATTGTGTGGTGTGCGGCGGCTTTGACGTAACACATTACGACAATCGGGCAGCGACGTCGACGTCGACTGAACGCGATTTCCGTTCTCTGCCCACGCATATTGCACACATCACAACAGCGGAGGCAGCGCCGCAGCAGCGCAGTAAGCAGAGGCAGGGGCAGAGACGATAGAGAAAATTTAGCAGAAAGATACAAATACAAGCAACCGCAAATAAACACGCGACAAAGCGCAGCTTCAACGTTTTGTCTTCCTCTTGCTTCTGCATTCGGCTTTGTCTTTCCAACGGGCACAGTGGGGCAAAACAGTCAAGTTTCAGTTAAACTTATAAAGTAACGAAAATTCAACTTATGACCATTTAGTAAAGGTAATTTATATGAAGCCAAAGGGAAATAATAATTACATATTGTGTTAAATGTAATGTAATTTGAAAAGAATAAAAATTTACTATTTTCTTCTTATTGGAAGTGCAGTTTTACAGCTGTGTGTTATTGTTCTATACTTGCCATCTTGTACCACTGTGCCGTGGGTTTTGGCAGCATCGCGTCGCTTGAGTTGCAGCTGCTCGGCGACCCCACCTCACCCCACCCCACCCACTGCTTGCCACACCGCCACCTCCGCCCCCACTCCCATTTTTCACCTCAATTTTCCGACCGCCCACTGGCAGCGTTTTGGTTTATTCTCCTTTTGCTTTTTGACTCTGTTATTTTATTTTCTTTTTTTTGGCTTGGCTTTTTTATACTCACGCCAACGACAGCGAGAAGAAAAAACACTTGAACAAATGCAGCAGTCAGCTTATTCACAATGATATTGTGTATGGTATATTTTTATTCGTTTGGCAAAAGTAATAAACATCAGATAGAAAAACAAAATACACGGCAGACAAAATCATTTGGGCGAACCAAAACGCTTTCGCAAAAGAAAAATAAAAAATAAAAATAAAAAGCAGAAAACCGAAAACCGAAAACAAATCATGACAAAAAGCTGTGGGCGACAACAACAAGTCGAGTGAAAAAAAGCCAAGACAAAATTAACAATTTAAATGCTAAAATCCGAATCGACGGCTGAGCCAAAAGCCACTAAAAAGTAAGTCAAATAAAAATGCAGCCCAGGCATTTAGTGAAGTAAAATGCTAATAAAGAAGTAGATACTGTGTGTCTAGTATGCCCGACTGCACAGATACGATAATTATATAAACAACGAAAACTGATTGCCGATGTCGTTCCTAATGATCATCGCAAGATACAAACGTTGATCATGACTGTTTGGGATGTGTGTGGGATATGTGTGGCACATGCGTGTAGCATAAACATATGTGTATTTCCATCCACACTGTGGCCATTGTGTACATATATCAATGGGTGTATTATCATATCATCACCGCCAGCGGACAGGCGACAACGTGGACATTTTGTCGTTTTTATAAGAAGACAATACCCGGGGCCGAATTCGAACGTTATCTAATAAATTGTGAGGGAGTTGACAGCGGACGACTGACAAAAAAAAAAGAAGCAGAAAACTGAAAACATAAAACCGACTGAACACTGAGAAATTAAACAAAAAAACGGTGTTTGAAATCTGCATTTGGTCGTAAATATTGTTGTTGTCTGTAAGCTGTCCGAAAATGAGTTCAGAGTGAAAGCCCCTTCCCAAAAAAAAAAAAAAATGAAAAAGATGTGTGGGTTTTTCCCTCAAATCCCCCGACTTTTGTAAACAGAACTCTCTGGCTTATCAATATGCGAATTAGCCGATGATTATGCATGCAAATCGATTCAAAATGGTGGCACATCGGTGGGCAGAGGAAATTAGCGCTCTCTGCTGATTGGTGTGTGAAAATTGATCCACCAGATCGCCAGATAGCCCTCAAGATAGTGATTTAATGGCCCGCATCATGCTTAGGATGTTCGGGCCCGGCCTTCATCAAAGTGCTGATCGATAGGTGCGAAATCTGACTTATTGTTCGGATGATGATCGATAGCCTTAAGCCCGCTGAAACTGCCAAATTTGGGAGCTTACTTGGGATACATTTTAGTCCAAGATGCGTAGTTAATACCAAATGATGATTGTTAAGCATCTTTGGAACCTAGATGTTATCTGATATGCAAATATAAGTGTAAGCCTTCGAGGGAAGTATGAAATCATAGTTAGGGCGATGTGAAGTGTGCAATAGTTAAGTTTCCTATCTGTGTAATCATTTTTACCTTGGAACCTATGCCAGCTTATATGTACATATGTACACATCTAATAAGGCCAATTTCCTGAATCCCAAGGTAAACCCTTTGATTAGCTCCAGTTTTTACCACCTCAAATAAAACCATTTCTCTGGGGCAAGCACTTGCAGCCCCACCAAGAAGTGTGTATTTGCCCCGAGCGATCTGTACAAATATCAACAAATATAAACATTTTCCTCTGTAGATACCGCGATCGAAGACAGTGCAAACCTATTGATTAGATAATTGCAGAGGGCTCTAAAAAGGCACTAAATGTAGAGCGGGAAACGTGCGACAATCTTTGGAGATACAGATAGGAAGATAGGAAGAACTCCTCCATGAAATCGGGGCCAAGTCTTTGACAGAACTACTAATCAAAGCCTCTTCACTTCGGACACTTGAGGTTTTCCCCGGCCAACTAGTATGTAGCTATATACATACATATATAACTATATATAGGCATGGAGCTGTGAGAAATGTGGAGAAAACTCTTTGAAGAAAATCTTGAGACCAAAGTAAGCGGTTGTTTCTGCTCGTTTTGTTTGATTTTTTGTTGCCTCCGTTTGTGTGTTACTAAATTTGGTTGTCTGGGCATTTCTACGCAAGTGTCTGAATGTATCTGTATCTGTATTTGTAGCTGTAGCTATAGCTGTATCTGTAGCTATGTTTGCACCAGACCATTTTTAGTAGCCTGTCTATATATGTAGCATACTATATGGTATGGCATTGTATCTCGGTTGTAGCTCTGCTCAACTGCGGTAATTGCCGACTATTTTCTTTAATTCGTTTCCAGCTGTCCTTTTCTGTGGGTGTGTGTCTATATGGCTTGGCCTGGTGGGAAAGTGCTCCTCCAGCATCATTTCTGCTCCAGCATCCGGGGCACCAGAAAGGTGATAGCAGCGACCACAAACTGCGCAGCATTCGTACTTTATCTCTCCGCCGTACTGTCACCGAATTTGGCGAGCTTTGGTCCCATCGCAACGCCCTCCACATTTATGCAAAATAAAACCAGCGCACGCTGCACAATTCTGGAGCAAGATGAAGACATTACGTCTGATTTTTTAAATTCTGCATTCCGAATGTGGAGCCTCCGGGGGCCTCGTCTCACAGTCACT